TAGCTCCACCTTGTTGATGTATAGTTATGCCGTTTTTCCACCGTGTAGTATGGTAGGGTACAGTTACAAATCTGACCTTTGGTTACTCTTCTAGCTGGGGTACCAAGCGTGCCTAACCGGAACATATGGGAAAATTGCAACACAGTGTCACAGTAGTCACATGACCACTGTTAAAACAAACAAGCAAAAAAATAATAATAATAATAATAGCAAGAATTACTTTCTGTGACTCTTCACATCAAACCAAAGACTTCCAAACAGGTAAACTTAAATTTAAAACCATTGTTATTACTGTTGTTAGTTAATGTTACTGTTAATGTTACTGTTAATGATAGATCCATGTGAGAAATCATGTGAGCACACACGCCAAAGAGACCTCCGCCTACTTTCACAGTTCTGTCACGGTTCTGTAATGGGAAACCAACACAGGTACTAACCTGTACCTGGGTATGCATAGTTCTGTCTGGTCTGGTCAGATCTGATCTGTCAATTCTCAACTTGTGTTAGCCATTCTCTATTTCTTAATCATTGGTCAGTTTCTGACAACAGGCCTGCTGTTGGCCAGATCTTTTTGTGTACTGGACTATTCTGAACCTAGCAACAGCACTTCTGTGTATTAAAACTTAGATAACACCATTGTTTCTGATACACTCGTATCATACCACTACCACGTCGGTGTCACTGCTGGGCCAAGGATGGCCTACCATCCAAATAATATCTGGTCGGTAGTCCTGTGGTCAGAAACTGACCAGTGATTAATATAGTAGAGGGTTACTGACAAATTGTGCACCAACAGATGTGCTATATTCTGTAATTGTACACGTGTAACTTAGGTGGAGCTCATAAACACAAGGTAGGTGTTTCTAATAAACTGAGCTAAAGTTGCACGTAATGTGTTTCACCCCTAGAGGGCTCTTTAGAGTCTAAAATGAATCTCTCTACAGTCCATTGTGTCTTTTGCAAAATACTGAGTCTGTGCAGTTTATTCCTCACTGAAGAGTGGGTTACTTTTGTGTTGTTCAGGTTATCTGATCTTTTTGAAGCATTTTGAGAAGTTTTATTTTTCTGTGTCTGGTTCTTTTTGAGTATATACATTCAAATTAAGTACTGCTGGATTAGTTGACTGAACATTCCGCCTTTGCTTGCACGCTATTTTGCCACGGGCAGCTTTGAGCTCCATAGGGGAGTTACCACAAGGAATTTAGTAAACAGCACTCTCAGCATTATTTACTTCACAAGCATAAAGTCCTAGGACTTTTTGTACCATCACTTACAGATGCAAGTGATCACAATGAGGCCTGTGAATTTACATTAGAATATGTTGCAGATATTCACTGTGTGAATGTGCAGTGACTCTCAAAAGTCTCCTGATTTGCCTTATCTGATGGTGGTTTTCCAGACCACAGACACATTAATCAAAAACTACATCTGTCTGTCAATGGAGACCCTGACACTAGAAATCTTTCAGAGGCCTGGACTGGGCCTAACGTACGTCTAGAAAACAAAGCTGCAGATTATTATCTGTTGACAGTCTAATCCTGTTTCTTAATAAACAGTTTGCTGCATGTCTCCGGTGGGTGTTGCCTCAGGACTCCGCTGTGACCTGCCCTGACTTACTCAAGCACATTAAAGGTAGAAGTGAGCTTTTAACAGTGATCTATGATGCTGCCCCTACGCAGATCCAAAGTGGAATAGAAAGCCTTAAAGTGAGAGTTCAACATAAAGTCGAATTCACACAATTTTCCCCTTTACTCCAAATTTAACCCATCAACAAAGGCACATTCGGTGTCTGAAGTTTGCTTCTTTTATTTAACACTGGAGGTATTTGCTAATATAGCTAAAATGTAATGGAAGCTTATACCCCACCAATTAGCACTGTGCATACTGCATGCCTAAGTTATCAAACATTTGTCTGAATGTTTGATATGTCACAGCTACGCAGCTAACTGGATCGAGCAGCTAACTGGGTCGAGCTGTTAAGTATTCTCAAGGAGATTTACTTATGTGGTTTCTATAGCAAAATGACAAAAAATAACAAAAGTATGTTGCAAAGCTAAAAATTGTAGCAGCCATCCTGAAGCCTGAATTTTGTCTGTACTTTGGTCCAGTTTTTCATTCTTTCAACCAGAAAAAAGAGGCCAAACTGAGGTAAGGTGTCTGGATAGCCTGGTAGCTACTTTTAGCTTATTGTCCTTCTCAACTAGTGAGTCATTTCTGTTATTTCTTTACTCCATTCTCTCCATTGTAATGGTGGTTTGTAGACTGTTACAACAGTTATATGCCTACAATACGACATTTAGCTTCCCAGCAGTAATGTTAGGTGTCTGCCTTCTTTCTGCATTCACCAGCTAATGGAAAAAATACAATTTCAGAACAGTTGGCCCCAAAAATCCACCCAAAATGCTTGTAGTTTTTTAAAAGTTCACCTTCAAGATACAGCATCAGAAAGATGTTTTCCTAGTTTTTAAACTGGAAAATCCCGGTTTAGAGCAGGGGTGTTCACACTTTTTGGTATGAAGGGCCAAATTGCAAGGTTTTTGGTCGGCCGAGGGACAAAAAGACAAAACAGTATACAACTAAAGAAACTAAATCAGTTCAAAAATGTGTTTTATAATATGACACTACATTTTGTTAAAGGAAAATAAGGATGTAATAAGTTACATGTAATATAAAAACATGTTGTTCTCTGAGGTGGTGGGGATAGAATAAATTTCTCGCAGGCCAAATTAAACGTCCTCACAGGCCACACAATGGTCAGCACTGCTATGCTAGTAGGCATGTTTACAGATGTAGCAATGGTTATATTTTTCATTTTGGACAGTGTGTCTCTTTAATAACTCAATGCAGTGTGTAATGATTAAGGCATGCAGTTTGTTTGACGCTAACTGTTAGAGGATAAGGTTCCATTAGCTACATTAGCCTTGTAGCTCCAGTGCAAAACCTAAGAAGCAAACCTCAGACAACAAACATGTCTCAGCTTGCTAAGCACATTTGGGATAAACTGTGTAAATAAGAGATTTTTCACTAAACTGCCACTGCATGATAAGACACCTCCTCTCAACAGCAGAGCCTAAAGGTCTAAGTCAGGTTAATGATTTGCCAGGGAGAGGACGCCTGTGTCAACAGCTGCTGTGACGCACTGTGATGACATCACTCTGCATGTATGTGTGTGCCAGCGCAAGATTAGTTTGGATGTGTCACCTACAAACCTGTGGCACGCTTCTGTAATTACTCATCCTCCAATACAATTCATGACTGTACTACACAGACAGGTCTCTCTGTCACTCCAGGTGTTTTTATCTACTACCACGTACTGTACAAAGACCGAGAGGCCGCTTTTGAAAATGCATCCGCCAACTGTTTTGGTTCAGATCTGCTTATTGTGTCAACTGGTGAATTTTTCCACTGCGCCATGCTCAGTCTATCAAAGCTTTGTTTGAGCAGAGCTAATCAGATGCCAGACAGTAGCAGGCCTAGCAGCAAAAGTCATGTGTTCTATTTATGAAAATGCTGCAACGTCACAGTTTCACTCCCCACAAGATGATAAACAAGTCAGCTGAGGTGACACAGCAACTTCTTTCACAGAGATCCACTACCACATACTCATCCTTCCACCGCACACATCACAATATAAAACAGAAAGATAATTCACAGGCATCATAAAACAATTACGTAGAATCTTTACCAGTCCTGCTTTATTTTTTTTTATGTTCTCATTCGCATCAGGTGGCTATGTGGCTACAGCCATAATGGTTGCTCATATGCTAAAGGCAGGTTTATAAAGTCTTTTTAGACCTAATAAAAGCAATTTGGCTCACACTCAAAATGTACAAATATATTTATATTTACATAATTGGCCCTCATAAACTTTTTAAATAAATATTTAAATACGCAAAACAGTCAGCTATAACAATGGATTTATTGATTAAAGTTGATGGAAAATGAAATGTTATGAAAATGCTTTATATATAAATGTTTGCACAACCCTGATCAAATTTTATGTTTTGTTGATTTTCATGCACCGTTATTATTATTATTATTATTATTATCATTATTATTATTATTATTATTGACATAGGCATAAACATTAGATTTGGGAGTATTTTTATTAAAATACATAATAATAATAATGACAATAATCATAATTTTCTATTTAGTTGCTAAATTTGACACAACACAAAACACACACAAAAAATAAAAACACAACAAAAAAACAAAATATTTTTAGAGGAGTAACTTTTGCTCAGGCCACATTTTGTATTTTTTTTAATATTTAATAATAATAATAATAATAATAATAATAATAATAATAAATATAAATAATTCTAAATAAAAATATTGTAGTATTTTCAGCACACATTTTATCCAGAATGCTCGACAGAGCCCAACTAGAGGTAAACTAGAGATTATCGATCAGGTTGACTGAAGGAAAGTGTGGAGATCCGACCGTGTAACTCTCTATTAATAGCATATCGAGTCGTGTGCTGGCTGAACAGGCGAGCCAGGCTACTTCCCTGCTAAAAGTAGGAGCGGTAAAAGCGATGTGTGAGATAAGGCTGGAGGAATTCCTGCTTTCGCCTGGGGGCAGTCAGTTAGTCAGAGCCACAAACCAGTCCTACTGAGAACAGCCAGCCGGGCTGCTGGGCACTTTTACTCCATGTATCTTACATTTTACACGTCAAGCTAAAACAGAGCTCCTCACGGATAACCAGGCGCTACTGTTTACTTCTTTGGACTGACTGCCGGAGCGAGTGACAGCGAGCGAGGGACTTTAGTGACAGCTAGGCTACTTTAAGAGGAAAACTGAGCTAAAACTCTAACTTTGGACACAGCTAAGAGGCTGCTTCACTTCCCCAAGAGGTCCGCGGTTCGCTCGTTTCGGAGGTGCCGAGCTTTGGGCTCGTCCACCGGCGCTCTGCTGGGACTTGAAGGCTCCCAGCGTGGCTCTGCCTTTCACATGTCTCTGCTGAGGAGGACTTTAACCTGCCCGCACTTCCAGCATGTCGACCGGAGCCGAGAGGAGACTCGAGTCCCGCATGAGGAAACTGGAGGCAATGATAAGGGACCAGCAGTCAGCGCTGAACCTGGAAAGCTTGCTGGTAAGGACACTGCTAGGCTAACTGCCCAGAACGTGTCACCACTACACATATACACGCTCACCTCTGTTGGCTGTGCTCAGGGCGTTTAGGCGGGGTAACTGAAATGATGTTTATAGACTACCATTCTGACAGAAATGGATAATAACTAGTTATATTTCCACAGTTATATGAACCTTAACTACTTTATTTTCAGAGTTATAGGCAGCGAGCCAATTCTAGAACAGTTCTACAAGTTATATGACGAAGGAAACATTGAAAAAGAACACATCAAATAGCCACAGCACAATGAGACCTTAATAATAATTAATAATATCAATGGATTGGAAATACAGGAGGTTTACAAAATTGTCAAGGGTTCTTCAGCAAAAATAGTAGTTCCATATAGAACCATGAACACTCAAAGAACCCTTTGCACGCTTAAATGGTTCTTTGCATGGTGAAGTGATTCTTCAGATTGATGGAGAATGTGTTGTATAGACATTTGTGTAAATGGTTCTTTATAGCACCAAAAAGAGTTCTGCTGTTGTTATGATGTAAAGCTTGTAACAACAGAAACTATATAGAGCCCTTTTCAAAAAGGTTCTGTGTAGAACCATATACAACATGTTCTCCATCTATCTGAAGAACCATTTTACCACACAACGAACCATTTAAGCATGCAAATGATTCTTTGAGTGTTTATGGTTCCATGAACCATTGTCTGTTCTAAAGACTGCTTAAAGAATTAATTTTGATGAGTATTTTGAAATGGAACTTTTATTTTAGTGAGAAAAGGAGTCTATTTTTTTCAGCTCCATTTTAGTCATTCAGGTGGAGTCCATGAATCCTTCTTTGGGTTTAATTTCATTCTGTTCTGCTGGTTCAGCACCTAGACTGGACCAGTAGAACAGAACAGAACCAGGAGAACACATGTTTGTTCATACGTCTCACTTCTGAGCTTTACCATTTTTGAATTTAGGCTAAAAGGAACCCAAAAAGGAGAAGAATAGCGCTTAAAAACTGCTTCTATAAGGAACTCTGTTTTTGGATGTGATACTTTCTTCTTCCTACTTAAGTTGTTTTTTACTTCTGCTTAATAGCAAGAAGTCTTTACTGAGTGTAGTTTTATGATACTCATCAGACCTCTGCTTAGCAATGTTGCCTAAAATTGTGCTGTACTTTAATATAAAATGTTTAAAGCCGGGCAGTAGGACAGTATCATTATTGTGATAAATTACATCATAGTATGTCACAATAAGCTGAGCATATCGTGTATATCGTCAGTACTTAAAAACACATCCCAACTGCCTGTTTGAATAGAGAGTATATTTAGTCCTGTTTTGTTGCTTTTACTGCAGCACAGGGTGGCACTACTTGTCTGTTACAACTTATCAAATGTCCGAAAAAATAAATATTGTGACGTATCATATATCCTGGAGACTTCTTGAAGTATCGTGATATTGCATTTACACCATATCGGCCAGCTCTATTTTCCATTTACTTGTTTTGTGTCATATCATCACGTAGGCCTAGATATTTGAATGTAATTTATGATTCAGGCTAATAAAATAGGCTGTACACCCAGACCAGCTGATAAGTGTTTTATTGCCCCTTGAAGTGTTTTGTTCCAGTATAGCAGTGCAGTGATTGAAGACATTTGACCGCTCAAGACTTTCTGGACGAGGTTTAAAAAGAGAAAGGACATATAAGAAAAGAAACATTCCCAAACCAGTCTTACAAGCCTGCCTCTACCACCACCCCTTCAGACACTCCAGCTACCTGGCTAGTTCCCATCTTGTATTACACCACCTCAAAGAACTCTCAGAAAATAACACCGTACATACGTGGACAAAGCATAAGCAAAACAAAGCCAGCAAAGAAGCATAAAGCATATGTGGAGAGTGTGGAGAAATCGACGGAAGTCCCAGGCCAGTGTTTCTGACTCTTATCTGCTTTTGCTTGATATGATCTCTGTGTGGGGAACACACCCTTCTCCTCAAGAATGTGCCTGCCCTGGACTGGTCTATCAGTTTGTGTGTGTGTGTACATGTGTTTGTGCGTATTAAATGACCTCAAAGCATCATTCCACCTTAATTACCCACTAAACAGTTAAAGGGACACATTGGCCAAAATGAAAAGTGTAAACATTGCTGCATCTGTTGTAAACATGCCTACTCACCTACGCACCTACAGCAGTGCGGCAGTAGAGTCTAGAGTGAGATTGTTCAGGTTTAAAGACTAGAAAAAACCTGTTCTGATGATGGAGGAGCATTTGAAAGACTACAAAAAACCACAAGGATGGCAGTTACCTAACATTACTGCTAATGTTATTGCAGCTGTATACCCATCGTCTTCAGATCATAATTAGTTTGGATGCTGGGTGTTGAAGTGAGAGAGCACTGATGACGAAGGACATGAAAATGACATAAAAATGTGAATTCTGTCAAGCTGATTACGCTGTGGGATGTAATGCTGTGCTACAAAATACTGCATAACATAAAAAATTCTTTATTAAACTCCAGTTTTAGGCCAGAATGCTCTGTAAAAGCAGTTATTCCCCTTAGCCTCAGTGTAATCAATTATCCAAGATAATTGAGCTGTGAAGCAAATGTAGCTAACGAGTAATGGAAGGATACGTCACCAATTAAGATCCTGCAAGCTGTGTGCTTAATCAGCCTGAAACTATATGGCATGCTGTTATCTACAGGTAACAGGCTCCAAGATAGCTGCTACAGTTTTTAGCATAGCGACATTCCTTTTTACATTTTCATAGATAAAAAAAATCATACAGCGTGTCAGAAACCACTGCAAGACTATTTATGATTGCTTAACAACTTAACCTGGTTTGTAGCAAATGCTAATTGGTGGGTTATAAGCTCCCTTACGTTTTAGCTACATTAGCCTCTTAGCAAACTTCAGACACCAAGCATGTCTTGGCTGATGGACTACATTTGGGCTAAGGAGGGGGCTGTATTTGTTTGATTTTTACTGAACTGTCACAAAGCATCATTCCACCTTAATTACCTGCTAAGCATTTAAATGGGAGAGCTGCTTCTCGCTTTGATGGTGCTCTTGACGCGCTGTAAGCTGTGTGGGGTGAAATGAAGGGGGGGACTTGCCAAGCAAGTTTTTCATTGAACCAGTAGAAAGATCTGTTGGTCTGTATTTGGTTCTTCCAATCATACAGTCAAATAATCTGTACTCTTTTATGCAAATAAACCAGAGTTTTTTTTGTAGCCGTTGTTAATGCATTGCAGAGCTAATCTTCTAGAGCTATTTAAAATCTGGCAATGTCAGCAGTGTCAAGCCAGTGATGGCTAACAAGTGGAAAAGTGAACATATTACCTAGCAGACCTTTAAAGCACTGACCACGCATGCACGTGGTCGCTCTTGAATGGTCGCATCACTTGCGTGCTTATGCTCTTTATGAAAACCGATATCTGTCCACAAGTAAGCTCTGGAGTTATTGTGTGATATATTTTGGGTGTGTGTGCGTCACCAGATGTAGAGAGCTGGTGACAAGGAAAGAACTCACTAAATCCCTGATGCCTTATTAACGTCGGGTTTAAATATAGGTCGATTCACCTCCTAGTCAGGCCTGGCTTCCATAAAGCTCCGTACTGTTAAAGGAATAGTTAAGTGAAAGTATCAAATTGGCTTTCAAATTGGTTTTCCTGCTTACTCCAAAGGTAGTCAGTCAACTAAGACATGTTTGTTGTCCTTTAGTTTTGTACTGAAGCTATACAGCTAATGTAGCTAACAATAATGAGAGCGTGTTATCACAAACTGCGGAGTGCAAACTGCATACTCTGTTCCTTTAAGCACTAATCACTGTTAGAGTTTCTTAGTCTGCTGTGTTATGGTGACCTTTGTGCTTCAACTCCATGAACGATGATTATAGAGCTGTCATGATGATTCATGATTATTATTATTGTTAAGTGCTGTCAAGTTGGTTCTGACTCCTGGAGACCATATGAATAGTATTTCCCCAGAATGTTCTGTCATCTGTTTGGGTCTTTAATCTTCTTAATGGCTTATTCGTGATTCCTTTGATCCATCCACCCTGTTGCTGGGTCCTCTCTTTTTTTTCACTTCAACTATTTCAAGCATAACCCATTTCAAATGAATGAAAGTCCCATCATTTTACTTTCCTTTTAAGAGCTTCCAGAAGTGTCATGTCATCTGCATATTGAAGGTTATTATTTCTTCCACAAATGTTGAATTATGTATCATCTTTCTAGTCCTGTTTCACTTAAACTATATGGACAAAAGTATTGGGACACCTACACATCACACCTATAGGAGCTTTTATGACATCCCATTCTAAATCCATAGGCATTAATATGGAGTCGGTCCCCCCTTTGCCCGTCTGGGAATCTTTCTACAAGATTTTTCTGTCTGTGGAAATTTTTGCCCATTCATCCAGAAGAGCATTTGTAAGGTCAGACACTGATGTTAGATGTGAGGGCCTGGCTCACAATCTCTGTTTCAGTTAATTCCAAAGGTGTTCGATGGGTTAATGTCATTCCATAATTTCACATAATCAGGTTTTGCTGTAGTCAGTGAAACACACGTTGACCTAGTTTTTGATTCCTCTGGCTTTTTCAATTATCCAGCATACATGAGCAGTCATATCTCTAGTTCCTCTGCCCTTGCTGAATCCCATTTGAACATCTGGCAGTTCTCTATCAAGATAATTTGATTCCAAAGAAAAATATTATAATTTACCTTTTTGTTGAATTTGCAGGTATTACAGGGCAGTGTGCATAAAATCTTCATATTGCATATCTTAAATTCTTCTCTTACAGTAAAAAAGACAGCACGTTGAACACGCCCATTTGTAGGCATCTTTTGCGGCGTAGATGTACTCTCTGACCATTTTATTTGAAAGTTCTACCTTGTAGCCCATCTGTTAATGCACGGTTTGTCTTAGCTACCCTTGAGAGTGGTTCACAATCCAAAAATATCCAGGTAAGAGCTCTGTGGTCAGAAACTGGCCACCGGCGATGGTCTATATCTAAAAACACTACGCCCATCACGGGTGGCCAGTTTCTGACCACAGAGCCCCTACCTGGATATGTTTGGGTTGTGGACCACTCTCAAGCTAACTGATGAGTGTGTAAAAGCTCTAGCAACACTGCTGTACCTGATATACTCTATTATCATCATGCCACTTCCATGTCAGTGTCATCGATCAGAGGGGTCCACCACCCAAGTAATATTTTGTCAGCAGTGGTTCTGTGGTCAGAAACCAACCAATTATGAATGGAGTAAAGGGTGGCAGACCAATTGCGTATCAGCAGATGAGCTAAAGTCTGTAATTATACACCTATATAGTGATTTATAAGGTAGGTGGAGTCATAAAGGATGGGGTTTCTAATAAAGTGGCCAATGAATGTATACTGAGTGTTTGCTAAGCCTTAATTGTATAACCTTTTTTTTCAGAAAGGTAATCTATAAACGAAAGGTGATCAGAAAGGAACCTATGAAGGGCTCAGGATGTTTCATTAAGTCTGTTCTATTTTAGTGACAGCCCTAATAGCAATGTCTTAATGTAAAATTGATTAATTAATTAACCTAATGTATTAATCTATATATAATCAATATAAATACATTAATTACATTAAGATCAAACCATATTTTGTCAAAATTCAGCCTCAAATTGTCTAAATTTGATTTTCCTCCAGACTATCAATTGAATAGTCCTGCCAGACTCTCCACTTCAGCCTCCATAAGCCCCAGAAGGGCCATATTCAAAATACCAGCACAGGAAATGGTAATTTAGGGGTTTACATTGTGATAAACAAGCATATAATTCTGGGAATAACATTTATCATTATCATGATCAATTATGTCACAATAAGCTTTTCTGAGCAAGTTGTGATTACCGTCAGTACTTAAAGATCACTGACCAACAGCATGTAATAAAATAAGAATGCTTAGTCCTGTTTAATTAGATTTGAGTGAAAAATGTTAAATTAAATTAATTTTTACTCAAAGCTTTTCATAGTATTTTTTTAATGTGACGTGACTGGTGTCAGAAAAAAGAAGTATTGTGACATTATGTATCATGAAAAAGTATCATGACATTATGTTTTTGCTATATTGCGCAGCTCTATATCACAATACACGATACGTCACAATGTTTATTTTTTTTCTGACGTCTAACAAGCTGGAACAGACAGAGTAGTGCCACTTTTAAAAAAAGATTTGTATTCAATTTCACATTCTGCACTAAATTCAGTTCAAACAGGACTAATTATGCTCTCTTTGTGATCCAACATACAGCTTTTAAGTACTGACGATATCTGTGATATACACCGAAAAGCATGTTGTGACATATTGTGGTGTAATTTATTACGATAACAATAAATATTGTCATATTGCCTGGCCCTACAAGCAGCATTTCTTACAATAAAGTGCGTAAATAACGTAAACATTATTAAAAAATAATGTGTTTGATTTTAATTTAGTCTCGTAAAATGGATTTTCAGTAACGGAATCTCCACAGATTGTAAAACTCTGAGTCTGAATGGTAGCTAGACCTGGCCTCCCTGCCCCCACTTCACCTCCATTCAGGAAGCTGAAGTCACATCCTCGAATTGAAGAGAGAAAGATAACCAATTCCAGCATTCTGTGTGCCGGCCGCTTCCTGCCTCTGAGTGTGTGTGCGTGCGTGTGTGTGCATGCCCGCTGTGCTCTGGCCCATTTGCGGAGGCGATGTTAATGACATACGCCTGTGTTTTTTTGGAAAAGGTAAAAGGAGGCTAGGACTGAGAGGTGGCAAACAAATCTGTGGGGTAAATACTCTATACTCTTTACTTCCAGATCATCCCCAGTGAAGAGAGTCCTGCGTAAAGCAGTCTAAGGGTGGATGGGTATTACGGGGCTACACGTTAAAAACAATGTACCAAGTTTTTTTTATTGTTGTGCTTAAAAAAAGGCTAAAACTTTCATTTTGGCCAAACAGCAAACTCAGACTTTATTGAATATTACAGTTATTTATCAACATTCCAGGACTGATCACCACCTTTAGATAGATACATCACAATGCATAGCATTTTTACACCCCTGGTGTGTGTGTGTGCGTGTGTTAGTGACAGAGTGAGAGGTGAGAGGAATGTTTGGGTTACTGGGGGGGCTGTGCAGCTGGGGAGGTCTCCTTTGTACATATTTTTAGCTCTAACAAAACAGCCCTGTGGAGTATCACCAGTGTGACAGGAATCGGTGGAGAGAGAAGCCTAGAACTCTAGAACATTCTAGAACAGGTGCCCAAACTGTTTGTCTTTGGGGCCAAAGTGCAATGTTTGTGTTGTGCTGAAGCCCAAGAAATAACACAGCTAACTAGCAACTCATTAGCTGTATATGAGAAACTATTCTTTAAATACTCCAGTGCTTTCCTTGCATATGAGACACTCCTGCCTTTAAATTCAGTGAAAACATGTTCTTCACACTGATGGTCCTTACATCTCCTCTTGTGCATGGACCACCAGCTATTACGCTCTGTTAGCTCACTACTGCATTGCAGCATCAAAAGTCTTTGGGACCTACTTTGGGGAGACCTATTCTAAAGTTATCTAGAATTCTCATGCAATAATGATTCACAATGATGAGAAACTGTATGTGGATACCCTTACTAGTGATTGGGTTCAGGTGTTTCAGCCACACCCATTGCTAACAGGTGTATAAAATCAAGTGTATAGCCATGCAGTCTCCATAGACAAACATTGACAGTAGAATGGGTCATACTGAAGAGCTCAGAGATTTCAAATGTGGCACTACGTCAGTTTGTAAAATGTATGGCCTGCTAAATCTGCCCCAGTCAACTGTAAGTACTATTATTGTGAAATTGAAGTATCTAGGAGCAACAAAATTTGATGAAATATCAGATTAAAAAAAAGTTATTAATCTATATATAATCAATATAAATACAATAATCACATTAAGATCCAACAATATCGTATTATTATCGTGTCAAATTGTCTGAATTAGATTTTCCCAGACTCTACCAGCCCAGTAGGGCCATATTCAAAATTCCGACAGCACAGGAAATGGTAATTTAGGGGTTTATGTTATGATATACAAGCACGTAGTTCTGAGAATAACATTTATCATTATCATGATCAGTTATGTCACAATAAGCTTTTCTGAGCGTGTTGTGGTTACCATCAATACTTAAAGATCACTGACCAACAGCATGTAATGAAAAGAGAATAGTTTAGTCTGGTTTAAATGGATTTGAGTGAAAAATGTTAAATAAAAATATTCATTTGTACTCAAAGTTTTTTACAGTATTATTTTTAATGTGACACTACTGGTCCTTTTTTCACCTGTTCCAACATCAGATGTCAGAAAAGAAGAAATATTTTTACAATGCTATTATTATAAGTGCTATGAAGTATCTTGGAGCAACAAGGTTTGATGAAAAATCAGATTTCAGGTCTTGGCTGTGGTTTCTGACACTGTATGCCATCCTGTTATCTACAAAAATGAAGAAAAATGTACTGTCAAATTTTAAACTTCAAGATGGTTGCTACTGCAGTGTATGGTTTATAATACTGTTTACAATGTACTTTGCTCCATTTTTGTAAACAATAATAGATTGTAGCATTAAAAAGTATTGAACTTGCGATTCTTTATGCTGCGCTAAACATTATGCCATATAGTGTCAGAAATCACACATGCAAGTATATTTGAGGTTACTGAGCAATTCAATGCGGTTTGAGGCAGGTGATGATTAGGCCTGCATTTTGCACAGTGATAGCAACTGTGAGGTTTAGGCTTTCCCTGCTTTTTAGCTACGTTAGCCTCATATCTCCCATGCAAAACTAACAAAGCAACCTGGTTGGTCACCTACGTTCTGGGTAAAGGGGTAATTGTGTAAATTCAGTTTTCCACCAAACTGTCACGTGAACAGCCTCACCAGAGTTGAACTTCAGCCTTAACCAGCCTCAGAATGTCCATATTCAAAAATGCCGTGTAAGCCATCCACATCAAGTTGGTTTTGAAGTTGGAAACTTCAACTTATTATGTTAGCTTTGTTATCAAGCACAGCTGAGCTTCATTATAAATCACAGTTGGCTTGCTGACCCATTTATACACCCAAAGCCATTAACCTGAGTTTGATATTTGACTAAGTTGTAGAGCAGCTTTCTTGTGCCCTGAAGGTGCTGAAGAAATTCTTTAGTGCAGATGCCTCTGTCTAATGGATTAAGTCTTTGTTTTCGATTTGTGCAGGATTCCGTGAACGCCTTGGCCCTGGACCTGAATCACCCTGCGCTGCGGAAGAACAAAAACATTGATGCCTTCTTGAGCAGATGTAAGTCCTCTTAAACAAGAAATATGCAGACCATCTCACGCAGGAGGGAATTATTCATGAACAGTGAAAAACAAGCTTTATAGAGTTTCAGAAACGGGTTTTTTTCACTAGTAAATAGTAAATTTGATACCCAACCCCATCCTTGGGCTTTGTACTGTAGCTTACTCATTCCCCACTTCCTTTTGTCTTACGAAATGCAGTAATTATTTAAACCAGAACTGTTTGTGGCTCTTCCGAAGTTTAAGAACACCTTGCCTTTTGTTGAAATTTTCCATGTAATTTTTGACTTTACTTTTTAAATAAGTAAGAAAAATACCTGCAAAACAGCTCGGCTAATGTTATCAAAATGTTAACATTTTACTTCATGTTCATCAATTTGAATTGCTTGGTATGAAGAGCAGGTTTTGGCTAAATAATGATTTCACAGTTTTCTTTTCTAAGCTATTGCTAAAAACACAACTCTTTTGGCCAAGTAGTTAAACACCTATAAGGTTTGAGTGCCAATGAGTGCTGACATCCCAACAAGGGGAAAACTGGGGATACATGATATGGTATTGACAGAGACCTTATAAATGTGTAGACGGGTCACTAGTTGAATCACCAGTGATTTCAAATATACTTTTTAAACGGTAATTTGACCTTCAATTTTGAGTATTTTGGTCTCTCCTAGATCAAAGAGATAGGAGTCTGGTCTTGTATGGCTCGAAATAACTGCCTGGCGCTTGACAAACATGGCCGTTGAGTGAACAGACTTTCCTGTAAGGACTTTGGTATCAGCCAATTTGCAGTTCTGTGACATAGTCATTTCTGTTGACGTGATTTCACTTGGCCAGTTTGACTGTAAAGAAAACAGAATGGGAATCAGCCGTAAGAATTCATGATCAGTGCATCCTTAAGGATAATGTTTGCCGTATTCCCAAGGCACTGCTTTTGTCAGATGTTCACTTTTTGCAAAGAGTAATGAGCAGATTTAAGCAGTTTTGTTTTTAAATCTTTCATTGTTACTAATCGATAAAATATGCATATTTATTAAAACAGTAAGTAAAACACAGGTGTCCCCAAACTTTAATAAACATCATTGTGGATTAACCTCATTGCAAATCTATGTGTGGATAAGAAGGTGTGAGATTTAGTTGTTCATTTGTTGTGCAGATGAAAAGGCTGTGATTCGTCTGAGGGAGCTGCAGGTGAGGCTGGATGATTTCGAACGAATAAAACTAATTGGCAGGGGAGCCTATGGAGCGGTGCAGCTGGTGAGTGACTGCTCAGGTGTGTTTTTGTGTGTATATATATGTGTGTGTGCGTGTGTATGTGTGTGTGTGCGTGTGTGTGAGAGAGAGAGAGCAGCAGTGTCTCCCTTCCAACAACACACCGTCTGTCCTCAGGCATTGACTTTTTGTCTAGCTGCATCAAGGCTAGTAACGCTCTGCATGTTAGTACATGCCTAACAAGGAAAGAGCGCGGGTAGGAGTGTGTGGGTTGGGCTCCTGTGTGATCTTGCACATGGCAGTTTATAATTTAGGCTTTGGCACTACATGTCTTCTTTCTCTGTTAGTTTTCTTTGAATTAGAGCCCGACTGATATATTCTGTAGTTTTATCAGTATTTGCCAAAACATTGTAGATAAAGTGTTAGTAATTATCATTGTAGATTTTTTTGGCCAATAGGTCAAAACCTTAGACAATTGTGCCTCAGGGGAACCCAATATGAGTCATTAGTAACAAATGATTACATTACCCATTTTCAGGTGATATCTCTCCTGTAAGATAATCCACTTGGATAAGGAAGAAGATAGTCAAAGGAAAATAAGCGAAAAAAAATACGAGTTTCCAAAACTGCAGTTTTGATTAATGATTAACATATACAGAGTAAATAAAACTTCAAACAAGTATGCAAAACCTGGTAGACCACCAAAACTGACCATTTAACAGTGCTTAAAGCTTTCGTCTTTGAGAGAGAGGAGAAATCAAGTTACACTCTTACTTCAGATCTGAAAAAATCCACAGGTGTTTCTGTCCATCCTTCCACTGTGAGAAGACAAATCAACACTATGAGTCTGAAAGGATGTGTAACTGTTAAGAAGCTATTACTGAGTGAAGGAGAAAAAATTGTAAATCAAAACAAAGGAAGCTGCTGGTGTTCTCAGGACAATGGAGTGACCACCCCAGAGTCCAGACCTTAGCATTACTGAATGTGTTTTGGGATTATTTGGATCATGAGAAGCAGAAAACTTCTGAGACTGAAGTTTGGAGTAATAAAGGTAAAGGGTGGACACACAAAATAGTTTGTTGAGGCTTCTGTGTAATTTTCTGTTAAATATATGGCAAGTTCATTTTCAAATTGCAAAAACAGATATCTCCATTTTAATCAATTTTCATAAATCATTTTTTATTACATGCCAGGTAATATCAATCTATCTGCAGTTGGGTTATTTTGATTAAGTAAAAATAACTCAACAAAATACAGGTAACTTACAAAATTAAACTTTACATTTACAAACTTTACATTTTTTTTCTTATTTACATTAAGTTTATTTGGCAAAAGCAGACAACTCCATTTGTCATTTCATGTTTCAGAGTTAAACAAAGCTATTTAATGGATACAAATTCCTGTTAAGTGCAATATTTAACATTTTTAACATAAAACAAGCAGGTAAAGTTCTGAAAATTGCAACAAAAACAGCTCATTATTGGGCAATGTTAAACAGCTGTAAGATTATACCTCGGAAAAATCTTAAGGCTGGATTTCACGTGGCTCACTGCTCTCTATATAGTGCCCTATGTGAGGTTTTGAGAAATTTTGGCTTTTACACCGAAATATTGCACTTTATGTCCAGTATGAATTGTGCACACATGGCTAAATCCAGAGTGGTTCTTTGTTAGACTGTGCACTGTTTAGATGCAGTAGCTGTTACTTTAAGACCTACGTAGTGCACTTTGTAGGGAGAAGGGAGCCATTTGAGATCCTACCTAAAACAGTTTGCGTCAGTGTTGCATCACCTGACCCGAATACTGCACGCTGATTCATTGAACGGATTTATCGGGTTCTGCTTGAGACTACTGTTGGCATTTGACCGTTTCTGTGTATATAGTATATCAAGTTGTCAACACATACAACTTTATCTTTATCCTGACTTTACAACACTAGGAGTTACCTGACACTCATTAACCTGCCTTATTTTATCACTTTTAGCTAAAAGTACAGTACGTTCACAATAAGTGTTAGACATTAGACATTTATAATGCCGCATTTGTATGCTTTTCAGATTATGTACACATAGTAGTAGCTTGAACATGGAAGTCTGAGCAGGTGAAAAGAAATTGTGAAAGGTCTCCTGCAGGGCAAGTACACAGTGTAGTGTCCTGGTTGTCATTCTAGAATTACAGCCTGCTGTCTAAACACAGCTTTACGCTCACAGGTCTATTAAATTGCAAAGATGAATATTTAAGGGTCTGTTTCACTAGATAAGCATTAATGAAATGTATCACTGAATTACTTTAGGGTCACATACATGCGGCAAACAAAATATAATGTTTAGCCTCAGTGGTAAAAAACAGTTTTCCCCACACTGCTGTGAGTAATAATGTGGTGTGACTGCTCTGTGTAGCTGTTATGTTCAACTCTTTAAGCTTATCCTTTTGCTGTAACGTCTTAAACTCTGAGGGACCGAATGTGGCTAACGGTCCTCATTCTACTACATAACCTATGTATAACACAGTAGTTACTGAATAATAATTCTTAAGATTAACAACTAAGTAAATATACTGTTAAACTGTTTAATGCATTTTAACATGAAAAAGGCAAAGTAAATATAGTACAATAAAGAAAGTAAATGTTGTAATGTAGTGCAAAATTTAGAGAACTTTTGCCTCTTCATTTATTTAATTTGCAGTCAAAACAGGCCTTAACTACGTTATTCATTTTTCAGTGTCAGTAAAGAAAAAAGCAATATGTATGAGCCTCAAGCCTCAACAATGACATTTGTATGCATTTTTTTCATTATTTAAGGTGTTCACACTTAGAAGTTGGTTGCATTTTCTCACGCTTCTCATTATCCAAGTATGTTTGTCTAATCCCAGTCACATTCAGTGATGTTGGGGTCTGGATTCTGTTCTGAGAACACCAGCAGCTTCTTTGTTTGATTTATCAATTGTGTTCTTTTTGGTCTATTTGCTTTTCTCAGTAAGAGCTTCTTGACAGCTACACATCTTTTCAGACTCATAGCGCTGAGATGTCTTGTCACAGTGGAAGGATGGACAGAAACGTCTGGTGATTTTTTCAAATGTAAAGCGAAAGTGGAGCTTGATTTTCTCCTGTGTCTCAAAGATGAAAAAGTACTGTTTATCCAACAGTGACAGTTTGGTGGTCTGTCAGGATTCCATGTTTTGCATGTTTTAATCATTTTTTGAACTGCAGTTTTGGGAACGTTTTCCTTTGACTTTCCCCTTCCTCATGCAAGTGGAGTAATTTATACCTAATGTCCTCAGAAATATCTCCTGAAAATTGCATAACCTTTTTGACTGAAACATAAATAAATGAAGAGTGGTTCTGCCTTTAAATGAGTGGTGAAAATGGGTCCTAATGTGAGAGGGCAATAACGGCTGTAAATGTTTTGAGGACCACCACTCGCACCCTGACCTTTAACCTCTGGACTGTGTATGTGTGTGTGTAGGTGCGGCACAAGGTGTCTAAACAAGTGTATGCTATGAAACAGCTGAGTAAGTTTGAGATGATCAAGCGCTCTGACTCGGCTTTCTTCTGGGAGGAGCGCGACATCATGGCCTTTTCCAACAGCCCCTGGATCGTTCAGGTAAGATGTTAATACGCCCACATACTCCAGTTTACCCACATACACAAGCCTTGTCATGGATATGGAGGAAATTAACTTTTACAGAGCTTTCAAATACAGGGAAGACAGAGCGTGCATTGTCTAGTGGATGCAGAGCTGTGCTGAATCACACAAATGTGTTAATCCCCAACACAGTATTTCCTGGAAATGATGTTATGTAGATTGTATGATGAATTTTGCGCGATGCAGGCCGGTGGACGGGATGCTGTGATTCAGCGTAACATAACAAAGTGTTAATTGCTAGTTTTAAGCCAGGATGCCCTTTTAAAAATGTTGAATTAACTGGTCTTTTGATGCTCCCTTACAGGTTAGTTAAACGTTCAAGTTGTTAACAAAGTATCTGATAAAACTGCTGATTATCAGTGTTGGGGTTTAAATTTGACCTTTTGGTTTTGGGTTGAGGTTGAGTTCAGGGTTAGGATAAGCATTCAGTTTAAGTGTAGGAAAAAAAATATTTGAATTGAATTTAATTTGAACGTCCACAGAGTAACTACACTGGACCATCAAAATAAACTGTTATCATTTGTTGTAACAAACTCTTAACTAGCTTTGTTGCCTCTGTTATTGTGCAGCTGTGCTGTGCGTTTCAAGACGAGCGGCACTTGTACCTGGTGATGGAGTTCATGCCAGGTGGAGATGTAGTGACCCTGACCATGAACTACGACATGCCGGAGAAGTGGGCTCGCTTCTACACAGCTGAGATGGTGCTGGCGCTGGACGCCATCCACTCCCTGGGCTTCATTCACAGAGACATCAAGCCTGACAACATGCTGCTGGACCGTAATGGCCACCTCAAGCTTGCTGACTTCGGAACCTGCATGAAAATGGACAAGGTTGGTGTGTTTATGGGCGTGGGCAAGGGTCTGAGTAAACTAGTATTCAAAAGTTTGAACACTTAATAATATTAATAATTGTAACTAGCTGTGGTGTTCTGAAGCACCTCTTGAAAATCATTCAGCAGCACCCCCCCAATAGGACCCCCTACCCCCCACTAGCACCATATAATAAATATTCTTAGGCCATTTCATATTTTATATCACATAATTGTAATTAAGGCACGCTCATTCACTGAGATGCATTGGTGACTACTGATATAAGTTCTGTCTTGTTTTAGCCTACTCTTAATCAAAACAATAGCTGACTCCATTGAACACTGACCTTCAGTTATTCCCAAAAAATGTGTTTCCCTTGCTCTGACACAGTGGTTTATTTCAGGTTAACCAATTTTAATTAAACATTGACCACTTTATTCCCACTATTCCTTCAAATAGACAGTTAATCATTTTGAAAAGACAATGTTTAGCCTGAGCATGGGCACTGACAAAAAAGAAAAACATGTATGGCTGCCACCTGGCAAATTCCAACCCCCTTTATCCTACCCTTAGACCCCCAAACCCCCAAACCCCTAAAATGGCAGTGTTGCCACCACAGCATCTCTAGATACAGCCCCCCTTTCAAATGTTTGAGCAGCCCTATAGCACCCCTGTAACCCACCCTTAACTTTTACAGTGTATATTTAAATATTATAAATATTATAAATGATAAAGATTTTTTAGCTGTTTTATTCAATATTTCAATAATTTTGGGAACAAGACGTTTTCTAAATGATAAATAATACACTATAATTGTTAGTTTATGTCATTTTTGTTATGTTAACCTACTTAATTTGTCAGGTTAGCTTTTTGCTTATAAAATATTTACTTATGAAATACAAGGCATTCTGGATATTCATTTTATTCTAGCTTTGTTCTTGATGCTAAGCATCTTTCTCAGTCCACTCCTCATTCTTTTCAGCTTCCAAGTATTATTTGAAAGTTGCACGGGGCTTCAGTATATTAGAATCATTTAATACATTTTTCTGTGGTTTTATATTAAGAATATTAAATTCAAATTTTTGAACAGTGATTCCAAACTTTTGAGAGGTAGTGTGTAAAAAAATTAGTTTGCATTTCTGCCATCTTGTGGAGAGCAGATTAAATGCACACTGAATTAGGTACCTTAGTTGCTGCTGATTTACCTAATATTTACCATGCACTCAGGTATATGGCTCATGTGTCTGTAATGGACTCTGTTTGTGTACAGTTGTATGTATATGTGTTTAATTGTTAGTTGTATGTGTGGTTGTGCAGTCTGGGATGGTCCGATGTGACACAGCTGTAGGGACTCCTGACTACATTTCGCCAGAGGTGCTGATGTCACAGGGTGGGACAGGTTACTATGGACGTGAGTGTGATTGGTGGTCTGTGGGTGTCGTCATCTATGAACTACTGGTTGGTGAGTATCTCTTCTCTTCTCTTCTCTTCTATTCTCTTCTATTCTCTTCTCATCTCTTCTCATCTCTTCTCTTCTCTTCTCTTCTCTTCTCTTCTCTTTAGCTGCCTTTATTTATTTGTTGTTTCCCTAGTATTTATTTTCTGTTGCACTTGTATGTGGGTTATTTGATATTTTATTCGTTTTTCAGTCTTCTGTGTTGGCACTGGTTGCTTCTGATATCATTTTAGTAACATAAGTCAGACGTGAGCTGTTCTAGTTTAAAAGTACTTTGTAAATTTCATAAGTAATTACTATGTGTTTGATTTTACCTTCCTAAAGGTGACACGCCATTCTATGCCGAGTCACTGGTGGGCACTTATGGAAAGATCATGGACCACAAAAACAGCCTCGCCTTCCCTGATGAGGTGGAAATGTCCAAAGAAGCTAAAGACCTGATCTGTGCCTTCCTGACTGACAGGTGAGAGAGCGTCACAGAGAGAAATGAACATATCTTCTGTTATGGACACTTCGTTTTTCCCGTTTTCCCACAAATGCACATACGTGTTGTCAGTAAGATGATGTGCTGTCATTATAATGATGAGTTATATCACAAAATGACTTTCTTATAGATATTGGATTTTTGAATGTGTCATGGGTATCTTCAGTACTTCTACAACACTGAACAACTGAATGTATCATAAAGATCAATTATAAAGAACCTGTAAATAACAACAACCACTGTATAATAACTGCATAAACTGCATAGTAACAAGTAACTGACTGGATGTTAGTCCATTATGCCATCATCTAGTTTTATTTGATATTTCCTTCTGTTCCTTCCTATATAGTCTAACATGTGCCACCTGCTGAGTGTAATCCCTGCAAATTGCTTCTCCTTTACACTCATAAACTCATGACCACCCACCTCTTCATTCACTCACTAAGGCAATGTTCACAGTGTTCAAATATTTTGTCTAACTGTGACACAGATAAACAAGAAATCATTCACAGATGACACAGATGTTTCACATTGTCAGAGATGGGTGAACACAAATGTGTGATTTTTTGGAAATATGATTTGAGCCACCTTCATATGTGGTCATAGATTGGATATGTATTTGATATGTGGCAATGCGAACATAATGTTATTTTTTTCATCACACACCATCACACTTTATGATAAATGTGTGAATGCCAGTTTTTTGTGTTTTTTTTTCCTGAGCAGTGGTCTGTTCACATTAACAACAGATATGGCTCACTCACTGACATTAATGTGCAAAGTCAAGACCAGATCAGATCTGATGAAAAAATCTGAACTGAACAAACTCACTCACTTATTCACTCACTCACTTATTCATTCACTCACTCACTCACTCACTTATTCACTCACTCATTCACTCACTCACTCACTCACTTACTCACTCACTCACTCACTCAGTTACTCAAGATCATTCAATCTTTCAACTTCTTCCTCTTTTCACTTACTCAGTCCACGCACTCATTTAATCTCATTCATTTCCAAACTCTTGTCACTCACTCTTCTAGCTCACTCACTCTTGTTCAATTCCTCACTCTTTTCACTCACCCCCTAGCCTACTCTCATTCAATTCCTCACTCTTTAAATATACTCCATCCTCCAGCTCATTCACTCATTAAATTCCTCACTCTTTTTATTCACTCCTCTAGCTCACTCACTCTTGTTCAATTCCTCACTCTTTTCACTCACCCCTCTAGCCTACTCTCATTCAATTCCTCACTCTTTAAATATACTCCATCCTCCAGCTCATTCACTCATTAAATTCCTCACTCTTTTTATTCACTCCTCTAGCTCACTCAATCTTGTTCAATTCCTCACTCTTTTCACTCACTCCTCTAGCTCACTCACTCTTGTTCAACTCCACACCCTTTTCACACACTCCTGTAGTTCACTCACTCTTGTTCAATTCCTTACTCTTTTCACTCGCTCCTCTAACTCACTCACTCATTCAATTCCTCACTCTTTTCATTCACTCCACTAGCTCACTCACTCATGTTCAATTACTCTCTTTTCACTCACTCCTCTACCTCACTCAGTCTAGTTCCTTCCTCACTTTTTTCACTCATTCCTCTACCTCACTCTGTCTTGTTCAGTTCCTCACTCTTTTCATTCAATCCTCTAGGTCACACAATCTTGTTCAATTCTTCACTCTTTTCATTTACTTCTAGCTCACTCACTAATTCAACTCTTCAATCACTCCTCTAGGACACTCACTTTCATTCAATTTGTCACTCGTTTTACTTGCTCATTCCTTGCGCTCAATCACCACCATTCAATTACTCAGTATTTTCACTCACTCACTCCACTAGCTCACTCATGATTATTTAATTCCTCACTCCTTTCTCTTACTCATTAACTCATTCCTCACTCACTCACTCCACAAGCTCACTCACTCTTGTTTAGTTCCTCACTCTTTTTACACACTCACTCCAAAAGCTCATCCACTCCTCTCACTCTGCTTTGCTCACCAACCCACTCACTTACTCCTTGGAACTCACTCACTTTCATTCATTCCACCCAATGCACTTAAATTCAGTGTCTCAAGTACAGTGTTCCCTCAAGCACTCACCACATCATTCACACATATGACACACACACATATTTACCAGCACAAGACGAATATAAAGAGCAGTGTGTTCAGCCTCTCTGATATTTGTGAGCAGAACGCACACAAACACACACATACTTCTCTCTTTACTTTTGGGCTTTAGCTGGAATGTCCCACACGTGGCAGCTCAGAGTCTGCTGCACCCCTCAAGCATGAGAGAGTGAAGAAGGGAGGGGTGCTGTGAGTGTGTGTGTGTGCGTGTGTGATTCTGGGGGTTCTTGAGTTCTGTGGCTGCTCCTCTGCACCGCACTGCTCCTCTCTCACTCGCTTCACCCACACACAGTTGGACAGAGCAGTCACACACATACATCCTCCGCTGAATGGATTAGTTTACGAGGAGGCTGTGCATGTGCATGTGCATGTGCGTGCAGCGGTTGTGTTGAGAGTGTTTGGTTTTGTCTCTGCGTGTGTTGATCAGTGTTCTGGTATGTTCAGGGAGGTGAGGCTGGGCCGGACAGGAGTGGAGGAAATCAAATCTCATCCCTTCTTCAAAAACGACCAGTGGAACTTCGACACCATACGAGACAGTAAGCACTCAGTTTGTTTGGGCTTATTTGCACTGCAACCCAGCAGCCCTCAGCGCTGCCGTGTACCGCATAAAGATGGAGTGATAAAGTAAACAGTTTGATTGCTGCATGATTCTGTTGGATACGCACTTTCACACTCTAAATGCAGTACACCAACTACAGGAGTGTGAGTAAGAAATGACCATTTTGCGTCATAAAATTCTAATATTTTTCTTATCATAGCATACGGTGCGTCAGAGACCACCTTTTATTTATTTCATTTGCACTCAACACAGCCCTTAAGTACAAGTTTTTCAGGAAATATTTCTGAGGAGATTAGATATAAGATAGTCCACTTGCATAACGAAAGGGAAAGTCAAAGGAAAAGTAAAAGGAATAAGTAAAAAAGGAATAAGTAAAAAAAAAAATTAAAAATAGAGAAGATAAGACATTGTGCAGTACCTTGTAGCCCACAACTGTTACCATCAGTTAAACAGTACTTACAGCTTTCATCTTTGAGAGAGAGGAGAAAATCAAGCTGCTTCAGATCTAAAAAAAACATACACAGGTGTTTCTCTCCATCCTTCCACTGTAAGAAGACACTCAACACTATGAGTCTGAAAGGATGTGTGGCTGTCAAGAAGCTGTTACTAAGAAAAAGGAATAGATGAATAAGAAGACAATTTGCAAATCAAACAAAGAAGCTGCTGGTGTTCTCAGAACAATGGACTGCCCAGAGTCCAGACTCGAACATCATTGAATGTGTTTGGGATTACTTGGATTGTGAGAAGAAGAAAATGCAACCAACTTCTAAGACTGAACTTTGGAAATGTGGAAAAATATCACTGCAGATTTCTTTGAAAAAGCTGAAACTAAGACTCCTGAACAGATTGGAAGCTGTAATAAAGATAAAGGAAAGACACATTAAATGCTGACCATTATATTTATCTGCTGGGGCTTCTGTGTCATTTTCTGTTAAATAAGCTTTCAACTTTTTTCCTGATGCTGAAAAATGAGTAGCTGTTTTGAATTATAAATGAAGATTGGTCTCTGAACTTTGCCCACACACACATACACACACTGATAAAAGTAATGCATTGATTTTTTTGGTTCAGATGTGTGATCCAAATCATTTCCACATGAACATGTAGAAATAGGGGTAGCAGTATGACAGTGTTTATCATTATCATGGTAATTATGTTACATCGAATCACAATATGTTTTTCTGAAGATTTGTGGATATCGTCAAACTTAAAAACAGTGGCCGACTGCACGTTTAAAGAGAGCATATATAATCCTGTTTAATTTAGTTTAACTCAGTATGTGAAACTTTAAATACAAATGGTCGTATTAGTGTTAGAATTTGTTAATATAAATATCAAAATGCATTATATGTATTGTGAAAGTGTCTTTAAGTATAGTGATTATTGTATTTTTTACCATTTCGCCTTCTCTTATGTGGAAATGATATACACAGTTGAATGAAGTAAATTCAGTGCGTCACTTTTTCAGCACAGTTTGCTTCAGTAAAAGCTCCTGTTGGTAACTGTATTCAAAGCACATTATTAGTTTTGTTAGCTTTGTTTTATTTTGTTTTATAGCCCTTCTGTTCTGTATTTCTGCCTCCCATCTGTGCTGTGTTTGAACATTATCGTTTTTTTTCCAGTGTGTTGTGTTGTTTTGTGTAGTGTTGCTCTGAGTTATTTATCTACACTGTCGTGTTCATTTTTGGATACGGGTGGAACCCAGCCCAACGCAGAGCTACTAATGAGAGGACTGATTCAAAACCACCAGCAGCCTCTCTCTCTCTCTCTCTCTCTCTCTCTCTCTCTCTCTCTCTCTCTCTCTCTCTCTCGCTCTGTCTTTCTCTCTGCCTCTCTTTCTTTCTGTATTTCTCACTGTCTGTCTCTCTTTCCCTGTCTGTTTCTCATTTTCTCCGGGGCTTTAAATCACTCTCCTCTCTCTATCACACTCTGTCTGTTTCTCTCTGTCTTTACCTCTGTCTCTTTCTCTCTATCTCTGTTCCTGTCTCTCTGTCTATCTCCTCTCTCCTCTCTTTATCATTGATTCTCACTCTTTCTGTCTCTTTCTGTCTCACTGTCTATCTCTCACTCTCTGTCTCTCTTTTTCTGTCACTTTATATCACTCTCCTCTCTCTCTCACTGTCACTTTATCTCTCTCTCTCTCTCTCTCTCTCTCTCTCTCTCTTTCTCTTTTGCTCTCTTTTGCTTTCTCCCCTCTCTCTCTCCTCTCTCTCCCCTCTCTGTCTCTCTGTCTCTCTTCCTCCCTCTCTCTTCCTCCCTCTCTCTCTCTCTCTCTCTCTCTCTCTCTCTCTCTCTCTCTCTCACTCTTTATCTCAGAGAGCGGTCTCTACTACTGTTCATTTCTCAATCTGTTTTTGATTTCCTGCTGTGTGAGCTGTTTTTAGTCACTCTCAGCCATGCAGTCTGAGCCAGAATGGGTTCTTATTAAAGAGCACAGGTCCTACATTGCTGCCAGTCAGGAATGGAGCTTTGCTTTTCAGGATAAGGGTGCAATCGAGAAAGCCCGGCTTAGATGTGAGCTACAGAAACTGGACCAAGCCTACAGTAACCAAAAACATGCAGTTGTATGTCTAAGCACGGTAACATTACACTGTGATTTACAGTAGAACTCTGTGCTCTCTGTAATGCTTTCTGTCTTCGCTTTAACTAATGCTAGATTGTACTGCCATGAAATGATACACTGCACTGTTGCAGTACATAAACTCACTTACTTGGTCACCAAATAAGCAAACACAGTACATTAATTTCAAGCCATCATTCAATAAACAAACCATCTATCAAACAATTGATTTATGTCAAACACTGCAGCTACCTTGAAGAGGGACACTGATTAGCATTAGCTGAGCTAGCATTATAACAGTCGAGTGAAGTCAAGCAACTGTCACTGAAGAGACAGAAAGGAAAAATTAAACCTAGTCTGTGGTGTTTGGATTACTGTTTAGATGATTAAGACTAATATCTGAGAGGGCAACTCTGTCTGTTTGGGGCTGTAGTGTTTTAGCTAAGCCAACGGTAGCTTAGTTAGCAGGCCCAACGTGCCACACCACCGCCCAGGCTTGGAAATGTATTCAGGGGTATCATCATGCAATACCTGATAAGTGAGGATCATATAACCATATAACCCCCTCTTCCCATTAAATGTTATTATTTGATTTATCAGGCTTTTTATTCTGAAATGCTAAAGACACCTGCAGACTTCATGTTGGTGTTAGTTGGGTTAGTGTGTGCTGGGCTTAAAGGTGTAAATGTGCTGAAACTCTGTGTCTGTGGGATTGTTGACAGAAGCAACTGTGTGACTATGTAAAGAGAGTGGGTTGAACTGTGGAGTGCTTTTTAGGTGTAAAATGCTGTGGCTGTGTGTGTGTGTGTGAGAGAAATGGGAGAGAGAGGGAGAGAAGAGAGAGAGAGGCTGAGAGGTAGTGTGAGTGGTTTTACTCTGTGTTTGTTTTCATACATTTTCAGGACAAAATGTCCTGACCAGGTGTCAAAACAGAGTTAACTACAATGTCAGGACTAATAAAGTGGTTTAGTAAAGTTTCATTGTTTAAAACTGAAAAGGTGAAGCCATTTCTTAATGGCTACTGAGGTTGAGATTAGGTTTAGGATTAGGTTTAGGGAGTGTCTACATTTGTAGGTTGGTTCACATTGGATGCAATATTTTATTTTTGGTTCACTTAGCATTTATAGTGACATATTTGACACTGAACCAAAATATCAACAAAATTCATACGTACAAACTGATAGGACAGATTTTATGATGTGTATTTTGTCACAGTAACTGGGATACTATCCAGTGAACTTTCTGCACCATCTCTGGCCTAACAAGAGACGGTGGGTTTCATGTATGCCTTGATTTGTCTATTTCTTGTGACATTCTAGAGAAATAAGCTATTCGTACATTACAGTGGCTTTCCTATGATGCGAAGCAGGGTAAAATTACTGTGAAAGCACTGTGAAATCACAGTGCCTCAAGTGTCTAACTGCTTTTATGAAACGCCCAAAACTTGCCAGATTAATTCATAAGTGGTGTGTGGCCTATATAGTGTGTTTTATAATGCTACTAATGTACCATGTTTCAAAACTGAAACTATCCTTTGTATAATTACTAATTCAGAGCTGTGTCAGAAATACATCTCTCAGAGTAAAACAAGATCAAAAATTCTGACTAACTAAATAAATGTAAAGAAGATGGAGAGAAGAGATGGCAGTTTATTCTGTGTTTTGACATCTTTGGCCTGTTTTCAAACTCACAACAATAGAGCAATTGCACCAGGATTCGTTTCAACTGAACCAAACCTGCCAAATGTGAACAGGCCCTTAGATTTTTTTTTTTACGTATGGGACATATGCATGACTTCATGTCCTGACGTTGTATAAAAACATGCTTGTGTGTGTATGTGTGAGCCAGGCTGGGTGCAGTAGGTAGAGAGAGAGAGAGAAGTGGCCAGCTTGGCAAGTGCTGGACGCCACTCCTCCCTGCATCTACAGTGTCTGCTTTGTGCGTTACACACTGAGCCTTTCAGAGAATGATACATACATACTCACATATACACAGACACATGAAAAAGGGAGGTCTCTGCAGTTTTATATTATTATCTCTCTCTCTCTCTCTCTCTCTCTCTCTCTCTCTCTCTCTCTCAGCCATGGCTCCAGTGGTGCCGGAGTTGAACAGTGATATTGACACGAGTCATTTTGATGACATTGAGGATGAGAAAGGAGACGTGGAGACTTTCCCTCCCCCCCGCGCCTTCGTAGGCAACCAACTACCTTTTGTGGGCTTTACCTACTTCAGGGAGGACCAGTAAGTCTGTGTGTTTGTGTGTTAGGGCTGCTTGATTTGGACACATTTCTAGTATTGCAGTTATCTTGCTGCGTGTTGTGGCTTCCATATGCTTTGCCATATATTAACACTGCATTGGTGTATCAGTAATGTGATACAGTGATATAGTTAAAGATGAAATTGTGTTTGATTGGTGAATACTTGGGTGAATGTAACTCATGAGAACACCCACAGAAACAAACACCTGGACCTGTGATTGGTCAAGATGCTCACAGTGCACAGTGAAGCATATTGATTGGTCAGAGGGATTATTTGCATTTTTTAATCGTTCCGCGATGTCAGTATTGCAAAGGCCAACACTGTAATTAGGTCTATCACTTATATTGGTTATATCAAGTAACCTACTGATTTTGTTAATAATTAATCAAGTAGTCCTTTTGGGTCTGTTTGTTTTTATAACTTTTCAACAGAATTCAACAGAATTCAGTAAAACTCTTATGGATAATAAATTAATGTGAGCATGTTTATAACTGATGATATCTTGCACACCAAACGTGAATTTTTTGGGTGAAAATACAATTACATTATTTAATTCACCACCTGGTCAATTTTTGCAACTTTTGCAGTGAGTGGAAAGGATTTGAATCTCCAAAAAGCAGCTCAAACAAGACTCAGACTAGGTGATGAACATTCCAGTTATAAGTTAAATTTATTATAAATTTATTTTACAAAATGGAAAGTAGCCTGCACAGTGTTTTCATTTGTCTGTTTCATGAGAAGCGATTGATATGGTTTTCATATTCAGATATTCTGCCCATTTTTTTTGCATGTAGACAATACAATGAAAAAAAATTGCGCTGTGTCTGAAGTGTATAGTTTTGATGCACAAAATCATGTCAGAATATTTCCCATTTATGTGTTATTGGTCACTATTTTTAACAAAACATTTCGTCATAACACCTGGGAAAAATGTCAAAACATTTACACAGAGAAAACAGTTTCTTATGAAATGTGTTGCAGTATTCATAGAGAAATTGTATAATTTACCTTTGAAAAACAGTAAAGCTTGCCTAACCTTGTTAACAGGCAGCATTGCAGCCAGTTAAACGAGACATACGGCACCATGTCACGACTCCAGTATGACAAGGTTGTACTTCTCAGTGTTATTTGGCACACAAAAGTAAATATGCTTACTGAGGTGGCAAAATCTATTTTTTTGTGTGACTTTCTTGTTAAGAGGGAACAATAAATAAAATGATCTAAGCGCAACAGAAAAACATAAAGACCAGGAAAGCAAAAAAGGAAATCAAAGTGTTTGTCGCTACACTTCCAAAGCTTAGTTTTTCAGTCAGAACAGAGTGCTGCACAGGTTCAGCCGACCATACACAGTAGTGTTAATGTTAGTATTGATAGCTCCGCTGTTAAGGTAGTTACTCAAAAAAAGTAATTCATTACAAGCTACTAATTACTAACACAATGAGTACTTAACTTATTACTGCTTAGAAAATTATATCACTTTATAAGCAGATAACTTATTATTTCTTAAAACCAGCTATATTATCTGCAATTATAGTGGAATAATACCACTTAATAAAATGGCTTTAGTAGGAAATGTCCAAAAAAGAGTTGAATAATCTTGGAACATTGTTACAACAATCTCAAAATAAGAAATATTAGATATATCAACATGTTTAAGATGAACCTTGTCTAATTTAAAAATGTGCATCAAGTGTGCACCCATTCCTGTCTTTTGCCTAGAGCCCCTGAATCACTAAATCCACCACAATATGTTATTGAAACAATACACGACATAAAAAAATGTGATTTCTAGACATGAAAACATTTCAAATTACCCCAGTCATCTGGTGATACCATGGAATGGCTCTAATCATAAGAATAATAATTACAGGCTGTAAAAGATATTGCTTCTTGAAATTAAATGTTTTAAGGTATAGACTAAGAAAGAAATGTGGAAGCATAAAGAAACTGACCAGAAAGAAAGTTCTGGAACTTTTGGAGTTAGCATATTCTACACACTGTGGCACTGTGTAATTCTGTCCAGGTGGTTTTGTTCTCTCTCTTAGCAGGGGCCCACAGAGTTACACTGAGCTTCTGTATAAAGTAAAGTGATAGAGTTGGGAGTCAGGAAAGGAACTGTTTGTGTTAAAGGAAGTGGTTACAGTAGCCATGGCTGTGTACTGCATTCATTCCCTTAACTCTTGTCCTTTCCTGCCCCACTTCTTCTCTCTTTCCTCCCTGTCTCACTCTTTCTTTCTTTCTCTGTCTGAATTTTTCAGGTTGATGAGCTACAGAGAGAGCTCTGCAGAAGACGAATCGGAAATCAGTGTTGATGGTTGCTCGGAAAAGGAGCGTCGCTTAGATAACTCTGAAGTGAGCACATGTCTGAGTGTATATGCATGCACACCGCACGTCAAAATTTTAAAGACAACAGTGGTTCAAAATGTTTGTGGTACAAATCGAGCATATTTTCTTCGTCAGTTTTCAAAAACTTATTTTAACATGCATATTAACCATGTCTGTGATACTTATTACATATTATTATTATGTTCCATAGTTGTAAGCTTTCACAATTATGTATTTATATCTCTCGGTCGAACAGGTTGAGTTGGGCGGAAATAAAATAAAGCAGGAAACACATTTATTGAAACACTTCATGGATCTTACAGAAACAGCAGAAGTTCTACCTTCTGACTGGTCCTGTAACAACTTTAGAGGGCAGCGTTTAGAAATGTTTGTTTATTTGAGCTTGAGCTGTGTCTGTATTTAGTTGGGAAACACTAAGAATCGATAGCTAACAAAGCAGACAGCTAATCAGCAAAAACTTGGAAACTGTAGGCTTGTACTTTAGTAGCTGCACAAAAAATGAACAAGAAAAGATATGTTATGTGGAAGTTATTTATATGGCAGTCTGGGCCGGCTCTAGCCTTTATTGGGCTCAAAGCATGACTTTTTTGGGCCCCTCTCATCTTGCTAGCTGATGTATTGTTAAATTAGTGGCTAAGTAATAACAACGCCTACCAAAAGCTTTCTAATTGTGCACATTTATGACTGGCTAATTGTGTATTGCTGATGAGTGGATGCTCATTTGAGGTTTTAATAACTTACAGTTTAAATTACAGATGACCTTCTCAGCATTCTCAATGCTCATGTCTCACAGTATTTCTTGCTTACCTAGCTCACATTATGTTTCCTGGTGGCAGTGGCAACAGCATTGCTTTTTTGCCATTATAAATGCAAACACTTACACTACCATTTCTCTACAGCCAAATTGGCCAATTTTTATGAGACTTTTTTTTAACCTGAAGTTCACATTTGTGTGACGAACGTGTGAAACACACTAGCACATTTCCAGTACTAATGTTTTCCCTGTCTGTGTGGGTTTCCTTCTGCAGTCCAAAGACATGTAGTCAGGCGAATTGGAGATGCTAAATTACCCCTAGGTGTGAATGTGTGTGTGATTGTATGTGTCTGTGTATCTGCCCTGCAATGGACTGGCCACCTGTCCAGGGTGTTTCCAATGATCGCTGGGATAGGCTCCAGCATCCCCCGCAACCCAGAAGAAAAGTGGCTTAGATGGTGTGTGTGTGTTCATCAGTACTCAAACCTTTAAACCACCTTTGGGCCGAAAGAGGTTCAGTAACTTTTAACAAAATGAAAACTGTCAAATCATTATTTAGGCAAAACCTATGAAGTTCTTGGAAAGTAACAGTGAATAACATTTCTCAGAAAAAAGGCATAGTGTCCCAAAACTTGGTAATGTGAGTCTCTCTCTGCTGTGGGCAAAATATCTAATTGTGATTTTTCTGACTAGTATTGTGACTGATTTAAATTGTGATTGTTTTCTATAAGGTCCAGGCCTGTTATTTTGGCCAAGAAGATAAGCATATCCTCTTTTTCTGGCTTGAGGCTGAAAGAGCTGAATATTGTGTGCCAGACTGTAAATGTGTTGTCATGTAATTGTCTGGCAGCTTCTAAATAGCCTAACTCATCTACAGGCAGTTTACAAACACTGTGATATTAGATTAACCGTTTGGTTTTCGGATGTATTTGGTGTATTCTATTTTCTGTATGACAGAGAACAGGCCTTACTCGTGCCTTTACATAGACCCTAGACTGGTTATCAGAGAACACTCTGTAATAAAGCTTCTACTCATAGATCACTCTGTGTGGGAGACACCAAATGAACGCTGTTTTGAGCAGCATTGCAAAGATAGCTTTAATGAAAATCTCTCTGCAGTGGAATTTCCAAAAATGCCGTGTGTGTAACCAGCATGGGTTCATCTAGCTAAGCGATCCAGCAGCAAGCCTTCAAGAGATTTTTTATAGGACTTAGTGTGGGTGCTCTTTTGAAAACCAATGAAATAAACAACTGTTTTTTTACCCTTAAAATAGCTTATTTCATCCAAAGTCATATTATTCAGTATGTACATGGACCACAAGGCAAAACGACTTAGTTATTCTTAGCAGTAGCAGCAGTAGCGAGAGGAACTGTAGCTCAGAGGAGCTAACAGTTGATCACAGGAGAGTGGATGCTGTTCTCTGCCAGGTACAGTTGGCAATTCCACAGAAATATGCTGATAATCAATAATGTTAGTGTAAAATACCAGTTTATCCTGACACGATACTTTCTCATAGTATAGTAAGCGGTAGTTTTACAATCGGCCACAGATTGTAAAACTCAATCAAATTGATTTTGGGTGATTTAAACATTCAAAACAGGCCGTCGATGGCTTTAAGATCCACAGAAGTACAGCCCTGTTTCCAAAAAAGTAGGGACGCTGTGCGGTATATAAAAAAAAGAAAGAAAGCAATTATGTGCATGTCATGTAAACCCTATATTTAATTGAAAATGGTACAAAGACAACATATCAAATGTTGAAACTGATAAATTTTATTTATTTTTTTTTAAATATATGAATGCAACGTGTTCCAAAAAAGTTGGGACGGGGGCATGTTTACCACTGTGTTGCATCACCTCCTCTTTTAACAACACTCTGTAAGCGTTTGGGAACTGAGGAGAACAATTGCTGTAGTATTGAATGTGAAACTTTTCCTGTTCTTGCTTGATATAGGATTTCAGCTGTTCAACAGTTTGGGGTCTCCTTTGTCACATTTTTCTTTTCACAATACACAAAATGTTTTAAGTGGGTGACAGGTCTGGACTGCAGGCAAGCCAGTTTAGCACCTAGACTCTTATATTACAGAACCATTGTTGTAATATGAGCAGAATGTGGTTTGGCATCATCTTCCTGAAATAAACAAGGCTTTCCTTGAAAAAGTCGTTGTCTGAATGGCAGAATATGTTGCTCCAAAACATGTATATATCGTTCAGCATCAATGGTGACTTCACAGATGTGCATGTCACCCATGCCATGTGCACTAATGCACCCCTATACCATCACGAATGCTGGCTTTTGAACTATGCGCTGATAACAAGCTGAATGGTCTTTAGCCCAGAGGACACAGTGTCCATGATTTCAAAAAAAAATATCAAATTTTGATTCGTCAAACCGCAGGACACTTTTTCACATTGCCTCAGTTCATCTTAAATGAGCTCAGGCCCAGAGAAGGTAGCAGCATTCCTGGATCCTGTTTATATATGTTTTATTCTTTGCATGATTTTTAACTTGCATTTGTGGATGCAGCGATGAACTTTGTTCACAGACAGTGGTTTTCAGAAATGTTCCTGAGCCCATGCAGTGTTTTCCACTACAGAATTGTGTCAGTTTATAATGCAGAACTGCCAGAGTTCCCGAAGATCACGACCAGCCATTATTGGTTGTTGGCCTTGTCCCTTGCTTACAGAGATTTCTCCAGATTCTCTAAATCTTTTAATGATATTATGTGCCGTAGATGATGAAATCCTCAAGTTCTTTGCTATTTTATGATGGGAAACGTTATTCTTGAATTGTTGCACTATTTGGCCGCACAGTCTTTCACAAAGTGGTGAACACCTCCTCATCTTTACTTCTGAAAGACTCAACCTCTCTGGGATGATCTTTTTATACCTAATCATGTAACTGACTTGTTTCCAATTAACCACCAGGTGTTTTTTTGAAAGTATTACATAACTTTACCAGTCTTTTGTTGCCCCGTCTCAGCTTTTTTGAAACATGTTGCTGGCATCAAATTCAAAATGGGCATATATGTTTAAAAAAAAAACTAAAATTTATCAGATTCAATATTTGTTTTTGTACTATTTTCATTGGGGTTGTAATATCTGTCTCAGGATCTGTTTTCTTTTAACTTGTTTTCTTTTAAAATGTATTGTCATGGCATGTCCTGAATCAGCCCTGATATGCTGTCTGGCTTTAGAACATTCTGTAGCAGCACAAGGTATGTCTTCCTTTATTTCCCACCCATTGTCATTCTTGTTAAACTGATAAAGCCGTGCTGTAGTCTTCCATGGAATGGCTTCCGTCATGAAACATGAATGCAGCTTAAAAGATTTTTACATTGTGATTATATCAGTTCTTAAAACAAAAAACAATGCATAGCTAAAGTAGCTGTGGCCTTTAGTCTACTTTACATTAAGTCTACGTAGTTCAAGGTTAAACTTCAGCTGTTTTGTTACTGTTAACATGCGAGTTATTAAACCTATAGCCAAAATTAACAAACCAAACAAAATTAACTAAACCACACCAACAACTATTGAACCCTACAAAAAACTTCCAAATCATGCCAAAAACCAAACCATATCAAGAACTTCCAAACCTCACCAAAAACTAAAAAACCATACCAAAAACTACTAAACCACACCAACAACTACCAAAGTATACCATCAACTACTAAACAAGATTAAAACCTACCAAACAATACAAGCAACTACCAATCCAGACCTAAAACCCACCAAACTATACCCAAAACTACCAAAACATTCCTCTGCATTTTCAGAAGTATGTAGTATAATGTAGTTGAGCTACGTAAACTTACAGTGAATGCATATATATTTTCTGTACTCTTTCTTTAGTCTAATGATCTGCAGAAGAAGCTGGGTAAGTTGGAAGAAAAGTTCAAACATGAGATGCAAGCCAAGGATGAACTGGAAAGCAAATGCAGGTACAGCTGCACATACACAGTCACATTCAGTTTGTGCAGAACTATTTCATTGAGAATGCATTGTGTGCATAATTCCCCCAGTTATTTTCTGACATATTCACAACAAACTGTTAAAATGACTCATTTTTACCGTTTCTATCTCACCAGAACTGCAAATGATCGACTAGACAAACTGTCCAAGGAGCTCGAAGAGGAGGTAAGAGACTCCACAGATCCTTTTTACATGGCCATTTCCTGACCTGTCTTTATTATTAAGAATTAATCAAGATATTTTTGCTGTTGTCATTGAAGTGGAGAAAGTGTAATTTTTCAAGATATGGGCCCTTTAAAATATGTACTCAGGGTCTTCTTGGAATAATGGCTCATGCTAGCTCTATTTTGAGCTATTTTGTAACGAGAAATACTGAACCTGTGATATCGGCTGTGAGTTTTTTCACTCTCATGGTGTTATTTTAACATTTGTACAAATGTTTAACAAAGCTACAACTCTGTACTGGTGTTTACTGTTAGATTCAGAAGCACTTCATTGACTAATAGAAGAAGCATGCCAGGAATTTGCTTTGGCATTGTAGTGCCAGCAAGGACATGTTTGAATAGAACTTATATTCATTCATAATTCAGAGAACAGATAAGCTGGTGAAACATTCAGCCCATTGTTGGCACAGTGCTCCACTCAGTTATAGTTATTAAGTAGCATCATACTGGCTAGGTGGTGCGACAACAGTGGAAACCCCCTCGATATTCTGGTTCTTAGTGTTTCTTACAACCAGGAAATGTCAGGTGAGTGAGGAATGTCTGCTTTGAACTGAGGAATGTTTGTATGCTCACAATAGCTTGCTACAAGGAAGTTCTAAGTCATTCTAGAGAATGTTGCCAAATATTGCCATACCAAATCTCTTTTTCTTTTTTTTTCTTTTTTTTTGGAATGGACCAATAAAAATGGCCCCTGCCAAGTTCCCATTTTGGAGATAATAGACTTTGTGATGACAGTGATGATGTGAATGTTATGAACATGATGTAGCAGATGTTCATACTGTTGTATGCAAATGTTTGAGCACCCCTGGCAAAGTGACGTTTTGTTGATTTTGTGAAAATAAGTTGACACTTCTTCTACATCTACAGAGAACACACTTTTGCACGTTTTAATGCACAGTTATTGTATATTTGCTGAAATTAACATATTGGGAAAAATACACCAGAAAGTGTTGCCTGTGTTTATACTGTATGTTTAAAAAAAAAGACATTGTGGACTAATAAGTGCAGAAAAATGCCGTATTTGAGTTTGTTCTCTGTAGAGGACGTGTTAACTTTAAACTTAAATTTCCCTTTAATGCCAAAGTCAGTGAAAGAGGGTTGGGCTGGTTTATGCTTAATATTTTCTGTATGGTACTGCATAAATCTTATTAAGCAGCTTTCAGAGGTTTTTATCCCCTGATGTTGGATTCAACACTGATCTCAGTTTGGAAATTGAAAGCCCATTTTCCTTTCAACAGAGCCATTTGGCTACAGCACTGTTTCCACTGGCCGTTCCAATCTTTTTTTAAGATTTGACAGTGTGTAGTTTGTTGAGAATGTAATTAAATCTCTGTTGCCAAAAGTGTAGTAAGACACTTACAATGTATGAATTCCCACTGAACAACACTGTGCTCTCTCTCTCTCTCTCCGAGTAGATGAGTGCGAGGCACAGGGCGGAGGACTCTTTGAGGAAGCTGGAGAGAGAGAAAGCTCTGCTGCAGCACCAGAACACAGAGAGCCTGAGAAAGGCTGATCTGGAGACAGAGCGAAAGCGAGGCTTAGAGAATGAAGGTGAGAACATTTACTGATTGTGTATGTTTTTTTGACATACTAAATACAGACTAATCTGTAAGATGTATACTGTATATAGGGCTGCACGATATGGTTGCTGCTGGATTTCACAGTGCTGATATTACAAGTGATGAGTTATGAGTAAAATTGTAGGCCTCTGACTGGTTGTGCTAGAAGAACAGGTTTTTTTTTGGCTGACTAACCTCTATCTCTTTTAACATTATGATAGCGCCACTCAGCATTGTGCAAAATAAAAAGAAATGAAATACTAACTGCTACTTACATCAGTACTGCAAAAATATTTTTTGTGCACTGAAATGCTGAGAAACAGTCAGCACTACCTGAACAGCCTTTTCTTATGTATATCTTCATATCTGATATAAGCACATATAAATTAACAAATATGTATTATCCTTTAAAAACTCCTTATGATGATGCAGGTTTGTTGTGACAGTAGCCAGCACTGCTTCACACACTTAGCACACAGTACTAGCTGTGAGAATAATCATAACGGTTGATGCATTTTTACATGCTTGTAGTTCAGGATGGAGTAGTTTTGAGTTTGCACTTGTGTTTTGTAATTGGCCATTTAGCAGAATGGCTAAGTTACTCTTCATGTGGAAGAGCACTCATTTAAGTGCTAATGTTCTTCCAATCTAATTACATCACTCTGGTGCTGAACTTGTGAGGTAATATGATCCATTCTGTTGTTGCAGCTCTTAATGATGTGTTTAGCTCAGAAAACAATAAAAATATGATTTACTGTGCAGCCCTACACTGTTCTTATCTTAATATTGTAAGATTGTGCAGAATATTAATTCACTGTTATACTAATGAAAAGTGATATCTATGTTGGATTATTTGAGTATACTCAACTAGCATCTGTAAACTAAATTTTAGAGTTAGCGTTAAGTATACAACTGGGACACACTGCACACCAGACAAGTTTTGAACTTTGACTCAACTCTTTGACTTCTTTATTGCTTTATATGACCAGTAAATCACATGCTTGTTTTGAATGATCAGCTAACAGCCATTAAAGTTACCATGCCAATCCGGTGCACTCCACATTCCCCGCTTATATTTTCATACATCCAAAACCTATTAATGTTGTGACTGCTGTGTTGTGCAGTGAGCAGTCTGAAAGAGCAGCTAGCTGAGCTGAAGAAGAAGAGCTACAACTCTCAGATCTCCACTGAGAAGAACATCCACCTAGAGAGACAGGTCAGTGCCTGCTGCAACATTTCAGAGCCTCAGGAATAAATGCACTCTATTAAGCTTTATTTCAGCTGAATTCATTTTACTTGAAGAGGTAATATATTTTAAGTGATTACTGATGAGATTGAAATGGATTTGTGAATTGTTGAACCTACAGCACCTTCAGTGGTAGCAGTCCTGTTTGTATCAAGCTGACATTAATGTAATAACAAAGCCTGGCATTTTACCTGGTAAAGCTAATTCAGCATGCATAATGCTTTATTTGAACTCACATTGAGTTCCACCTTCAGTACAAACAGTGCAATGTTTAATACATGATGTAAGACACACATGGGGACTTAAAAAGCAGCTGATAAAACATTAACTGAACTTATTGCTCTTCCTCACCATCTCTCTCTTCTCTTTCCTTCACTCCTTCTCTCTGTGCAGTTGGAGGAGGTGAGTGCTAAGCTGCAGGTGGAAGTGAAGGAATCTGAGCGTCTGAAGAAAGCTCAGGGTGAGGCTGTGAAGCAGGCCCAGCAGCAGGAGCTCTCTCTGAGGGAGCTGCAAGAGCGGCTAACCCAGCTGGAGAGCAGCAAGCTGGGGCTGGAACAGGAAAAGCTCAGCCTACAGGACGCCCTGGAGACCGAGAAGAGGGAGCGCAGCCACAGCTCCGAAATCATCACCGACCTGCAGGGTGAGTGAAGGAGGATGTGAGTGATGGAGAGAGTGAGGGAAGGAGCGAATAAGACATAAACACAAAGAGAGTTGGCTGAGTAAAGGAGGGAGGGAGTGAGTATGTGAACAAGGGAGGGAGCGAGGGAGGACTCGAGTGAGCAGAAGAGAGAGAATAAAGAAGGGAAAGAGTGAGTAAGAGGAGGAATGTGGGGGGAGTGTGTGAATGAGTGAAGGAGATAATGACTGAGTGAGTGAGAGAGGGCAAGAATGAGAAAGGGAAGGAAGGAGTGAATAAGACAAGGAGAGTGAGGGAATGAGTGAGTCAGGCAGTGAGTGAAAGAGGAAGTAAAGGAGTTGAGAATGAGTGAAGGAGGCAGTGACCGAGTGAGGGAGTGAGTGAATGAGATTGAGTGAAGGAGGCAATGACCGAGTGAGGGAGTGAGTGTGGGAAAGAACGAGGGAGGAAAGGAAATAATTAATAAGACAAAGAAAGTGAGGGAATGAGAAATGGAAAGCAAGAGGAAGGCAGCGAAGGAATGAGATAGGGAGTGAGCAGGAAAGAGGGAAGTAAGCAAGTGTGAGGGAAAAAGTGGAAGATAAAGGTAGGAAGTATGTATGTAAAGCAGACAGTGTACTTTAAACGGCAATCAGGCTGCCGTAAGTGCACTTAAAAAGAATTCTACGAACATCTCGGCACAGCTAGATGCATGCTCCATGCGTTCTACCAATCACAGTTAGGGGGAGGTCTCAGAACAAACAATGCAGTGATTAGGACCAATCACAGTCAGGGGGAGGTCTCAGCATGAACAACAAAATGGTTAGGACCAATCACAGGGAGAGCTCTCAGAACAAACAACACAGTTATTAGGACCAATCACAGTCAGGGGGAGGTCTCAGAATAAACAGTGTAGTGGTTAGGACCAATCACAGTCAGGGGGAGGTCTCAGCATGAACAACACAGTGATCAAGACCAGTCACAGTCAGGGGGAGGTCTTTTGGACTAGTCCTGAAATGCATTTTCCTTTCCATGGAGAATTCCCCTCAGAATGCTTTGCAGTCCAGGACTCTGGCTAATTCCTCTCTGAGAAACTGACCGTCTGAGTGTATACCTGCCTGGAGTTCTTAGAATGTTATTAGAAATAGTTTTTAAACTCCTCTAATGATCACTAATCTCTCTGGCCTGATAGGTGTGTGTAAAAGCAGAGTGTGTATAAGGTTGGCTCTAGTGCTGAGTGTATTGCCTCCTCCTTCTCTGAGACACACACTGGACCCTTGTCTCTCCAGACTGTGTGCTGCTGTTGTGTTTGGGTGGAGTTTCTCCTGTGGAGAGTAAACACTGGCTCAGTGGTATTTTCAGCCCACAGTCCAGAGGCAGGTGGCTGACGTCATGTGTCAGACCTGAGAGAACATTCCCCCATTGGTCTTCTCTGTGTCCTACACACCTCTGAGGCCATTGGTGGGTTAGATTTACTCACTTTCTCTTCTCTCTCTCTCTCTCTCTCTCTCTCTCTCTCTCTCTCAGCTCGTGTCTCTGGGTCTGGAGGATGAGTTGAAGCAGATGAAAAGTTCTCTTTCTAAGGCTGAGGGAGAGAAGAGACAGCTACAGGAAGAACTGACAGACCTGGAGAAGGTACGTCCATCTGTGTTTGTGTATCTGTGTGTGCAGTGAGTGAATCAGGATGCATTGTGTGTATGTGAACAGTATATGTGTGTTTTTCATACCTTTTCTGGACGAAAACATGCTAAGTAGAGCTAACATAGCTTGTCAGGTCTAAAATTTTTCTTTACACACACTTTTTCATTGTTTAAAACTGAAAGACCATTAAAACATTTCTTTCTGGTTGCTTCGATTAAGTGTTGATGTAGCTGGAATGAAAGAATGGCTCTATATCCTCTCATAACTGTTTGCTGTGTTGGCGTTTGCAGCGGTCCGGTGGGCAAAGTGGGACAGCAACTTCAGCCCTCATTAAATGGGCCGCTGCCTGCTCCGCTCCACCCAGCATCTCTAAACTGTTAGGGCTACAACAGTGTACAGCTGACAGAGAGCTGTCAGAAGGGCAGAGCTAGTAAAGGTTCCACCATTGTATACGTTACACACAGTGAGCGCAAGTTGCATCGTGTCTTAGTAAACGCCACGTGGGATATCGCGCCAAAGAGTGATAAAATAGAGATGTACTTTCTGTATCCACAAGTGACCACAAGTGTCCTCAGTAACAACAGCTACAACAGATTGTAGTGACATTTTTATTTTAAGTATAGATATGCTATGCAATAACATACCTAAGACCTGGTTTAAGTCCAGATAACATTCCATTTAAACAGGTTTCTCTGCTCTTGCTGCTCTGTAAAATAGGTCCTGCATAGGTAAATGGAGCGCACCTCTTGTGTCGTGCCATATGTCACAAGCATATCACGGCATCTTCAGGAATTTGCGCATAACTGAGGTTGATGGAAACACTGTTTTTGTTTTACCAACTTAATGTTTGCAAATTGTTTGAATGGAAACCCTGCTCTCTCTCTCTCTTTCTCTCTCTCTCTCCCTATCTTTCTCTCCCCTGTCTGTCTGTAGGTGAGGAGTCAGCAGGAAATAGACCTTTCCTTCAAGCTCAAATCTGTCCAGCAGCGTTTGGAGCAGGAAGAGGAGGAACATAAAGCCACTAAAGCTCGTCTTGCTGACCACAGCAAACTCAACCAGTCCATCGAGGAGGCCAAGTCTGAAGTGCTGAGAGGTGAGAAGCCTCCAAATGCTGTAAAGATGCTTCCTCTCAATGAAATAAATAAACATCTTCGGTTTAGCGTCGAGCATTGCCTCGTATTTCAAAGCGGCTTTATTTACACTGCCCATCAAGAGTTTGGGAACTGACACATGGATGAATATAAAAGGTCCAAAATTATTTCAGATAAAATCTTTCAGTTGCTTAAATTACAATGAAAGATTTTTTTTTCCTCATAGAGAAATCTATGAAATCTGTTTAAGTAAACAAATGTATATGCTACAACAATAGCAGTGTACAAATGTCATGTGTATGCCTGTGTGTGTGTGTGCAGACATGGAGCGTAAGCTACAAGAGGAGCGCCTGGCTAAGCAGCAGCTAGAGGGTAAACTGATGCAGATGGAGAAACATCACTCAGTTTTAGACTGCGACTACAAACAGGCCCAGAATGAGCTGCAGGAGCTGCGCTCACACAAAAACAAACTCACTGAGGAGGTCTGTCTCTCTCTCTGTCTGTCTTTTTTTGTTAAGTTTGTCTGAAGCAGGAGCCTGCATTTGTCTTTTTGCACTCTACATGTTGGCTGTGTTTAGTTTATTCCTAGAGAACTCATCATAGAGAAATACTATACTGTAGCAGCGATGCATGTGTATTTACATATTTTTGCTGTGCGTGATGTGGAAGTGTTTTGTTTGAACAAGACTTCAGACTACCGGGTGATGTTGCAAGATGTTTTCATCTGGGAGAGAGTTGTTATGACTTGAATGATATTTTTCTTTCAATGGAGAATCTCCTGTCAGAATGCTGTATTTCCTTCTCTATAATTTTACACACCCACATGTGATTTTCTCACACTGCCTGGCATCATACTTCCTCTCAGAGAACATGGACAAAATGTCTGTCGATGTTTGTTTTCAATATGGTACATTGTAGCTGTTCTATCACCTGTTATCAAAAATTTGTACCATTATTTGTAACTTTTTTAAAGATTTAGCAGAATCAATATATCCAACAGAATTAGTTACCTACCCTTTAGCGTTCAATTCAAAAACTTTCCTCAACTTGAATGATAAAATTATCTATTCAAATAGTTTTGGATAGTTATTGGAAATTTAAAACAGTTTTTGTCAGTTATCAGTTAATATGTTCATCATTTACATCCTTATTTGCATTAGAATTAGAGAGTGTAACATATACTCAGCAAACTCTTGTGTGTTTGATTGTAGGTGGATGTGCTGACTGTGCGTGTGGAGCAGGAGACTCAACGCAGGAATCTGTCTCAGGCTGATCTGAAAGCTCAGAGACAGGAGGTCAGCACACTGCGCTCCTCAGAAAAACAACTCAAACAAGAGCTGAACCACCTACTGGAGCTCAAACTCAGCCTGGAGAAACACAACCAGGAGCTGCGCAGGTGTGTATGTGTGTGTACTGGACCTTGTTCTTGATTAATGTGTTCGCTTATGTTGTGTAAAGCAGCATCTGAGCTGGATTAGTTTTACCAGAGGAGGTTCTGTGATATACCCAAACTTCTCATGGATATGCCACTTTCAATAACAATAACAATAACAATACATCACATAGTCGATTAGCAGATTTTATTATTCCATTCATGTGAGGTGGACTGGAACATGACTGCTACTACAGAGGGAGCTCTATGTTCCCCCAGGTACAAAGCCATTGTCTGAGCTGAACAATAATACACATTGCAAGTTTGTACTGTGTTTAAATCATGGCTCTCGTCAGGTAAAACTAATCTGGTGTAATTGGGCTTAAAGGCCCAATTGAAAAAAAAAGGTAAAGATGTAAGTTTTTTTTTATGTCCAATCAGGGAGAGAGAAGATTCTGAACTCCATCTAAAGGAGTTAAAGGACCAGCTGGAGGCGGAGCAGTATTTCACAGTATGTCACATTTCTGTGGCCTTTGTGTGTGTGTGTGTGTGTGTGTGTGTGTTAAGGGTGTTCCACAAAGTAATATCCGACCAGTGTTGGGATGTAACAAAATATATGAATATATAAATAAGTATTTAGAATATATGTTCAGAATACAGAAATTAAGTATCTGTATTCAGTCCAAGTTACATTTTGTAAAGGCAGCGTTCAGAATACAGATACTTTTTTCATTTTAGAAGATAACTTTGTGAATACTTACTTACATTAAAAAAAGTATACCATTTTTAAAAGAAACACCATCAGCACTCATTTATTAACTATTTTAAAATTAGCATGATGTGTAAAGTCAAACTATAAAGAAGAACACAAAAACAGCTAGTTCCTGCTAAAAAACCTACGTAAACTGATAATGGGATGATCAATTATTAATCTCAGTGTTACTGAGCTCTTCTAAAGCCTGAGAAGACTGATAAGGTGATGAGCCAGTTATTAATCTCAGCATTATTTAACACTTTTGAGGGATAATGGAGCTCATTAGTCTCCTCAGTAGTGGACATGCTCACAAGTGATAAGCTTGGCATTGGGGTTGTACTGGACTCATGCATGCATTTCATGACAGTGGAATTGTGGGAACAGCAGTGAATGGGAGCCCAAATAATGTTGAGGATTGTGTAACTTTATTTGAGTTAAGGTAACTTTTTAAGTTAATTTTTCATGAAACTTATTACATGATGAAAATGTCCAAGCAGTAACAGCAAGGAACAGTGTAAATTGAATAAAACATTACAATAGCAGTTTTTCTCATGTGCCTCATCAGTATGTATTCTAAATGTATTATAGCATTTTCTGAATACTGTTTTATGTACTGTAATAGAAAATTTAAGCCTGAAGTGAAGATTTCCCTGTCGGAAATCTTCCTAACCTCCTGTCCTTTTGGACAGGCTTGACTTTGGGCTTAAGTTAATCTAAGAAAATCCTAATTAGTAAAATATCACACAGGTGGGTAAAATGTTTTTGTGCTTGCAGAACCTGTATAAGACCCAGATTCGTGAGCTGAAGGAGGAATGTGATGAAAAAATGAAACTGTACCAGGACGCACAGCAGAGACTGGAGGATCTACAGGAAGAGAGGTGTGTATGTGTGTGTATGTGAGCAGACCAGTGCTCTCTCAATGTTTTCCTTTTTCTGGAATAGAAGCCCCCTGGAGTTTAATGCCATGCCTAAATCTAAAACATCTGGCTCTAATATACAAATGCCACTAATAGACCTAATTAGCTGGATCAGTTTGTTCTGTTCTCTCAGAAGGGCTAGAGGGTTAGGCAGTGCCAGTACACACAAGGCACAGGATTGCACAATTGTCTAGAACTGATGTTTTACCAGACATTTAAATCTTATAAGTTCTAAAATCTATTTTAACAATGTGAAGTCATCTAAAAATGTCTTTTTTCGGTTGGTTGTTACAGTTAGAAGTAGCATTACATTCTAAGGTAATTCAGCAACCAAACATATACAGCTGTTAGTGGCCCTGTGGTCAGAAAGTGACCACTGATGAAGGGCTACAGGGTGACAGAAATTATAAAAAAGCCAAACACACTGAAAAGACAATGCAATTGTTGTGCAGTCTCGAAAAGTGTATCATGGGTATGTCCAGGGTATATAAGGTTTGATTTTTAATCTGTTGGAATCAAGTAGGTGTTAATAATTACCATGTGAGTACATTTTGTGGTGGAAATAGTACTGTTTTTCCTTCATTAAGATATTAAAAACCATTTGAATTTGATTTTTTAAACTGTACAGCAACCCTGAAGCACAAATTTTCACTCACTACGAGCCGTTCCAGACTACATAATCTATATTTTAGATTCATAGCTGCAGACAATCCTTAGAGTTACTATGTGAATAATAAGCCTACTTAAGTATCTCCCTCCAAATTTTTATCAGCTTACTGCGGTTTAAACTTACAACCATTGTAAGTAGTCTTTAGCTGTTTAGTTAAACTGTGTCTGCTGGAGCAAGTGATTGAGCGTATGCTGCAGCTTTGGGTACTTGTCATCAGAAATGTACTGAAAGTGCCATCTAGTGCCACTCATTGTTCATTACACGTCACATTTTAAAGGTTTGCAATGTATTATTGCAATGTTTCCCACTAGTGCTCCTAAAGTACCTCTGCTGTGCATGTTGGGTGCCTGATCCAGCTTATAACTACCCTTCCTGAGTTGAAGTAGGTGTGCTAGAGAGGGAAAAATGTGCAGAGTAAAATGTGTAGAAGAGGGGTACTATAGGACCAGGGTTGGGAACCACTGCATTAACGAGTATACTCTAGTGGGCAGTGATACAAAAGTTGTCCAGTCAGTTGCTAGCACATGATCACATACTGAAATATGTGTATTTGTGTGTGTGTGTGTGTGTGTGTGTGTGTGTGTGTGTGTGTTTAGGGACTCCCTGGCCGCTCAGCTGGAGGCGAGTCTAACAAAGGCGGATTCGGAGCAGCTGGCACGCTCCATCGCTGAGGAGCAGTACTCAGACCTGGAGAAGGAAAAAATCATGAAAGAGCTGGAGATCAAAGATATGATAGCAAGACACCGGCAGGAGCTCAGCGACAAGGACAATACTATCAGCTCGGTGAGAGAGAGAGAGAGAGAGAGAGAGAAAGAGAGAGAGAGAGAAATCAGCTCATCAGGTTGACATATCTGCACCTAAGAGTGTATCATGCTGAGGTTTTTAAACACTCTGCACCCTCAATTACATTAGACACATGTTGGTACACTACGGGTACAGAGATTATAGCTCAGGGGTGTCCACTTCAGGCCCTTAAAAGCCAGAGTCCAGCACATTTTGGTAATTTTCCTGGTCAAACTTACTTACTAAACCTGGTCTTTAACTGAATCAGGTGGGGTTGAGCATGAAAATCACCAAAATGTGCTGGACTAAAGCCCTACAGGACTGGAGTTGTCATTGTCCACTCTGTTATAGTTCATTCTTTTCCATAGACAGTTTGTGTTAGCTGTTCCCTAGCCTTTTATCAGTGATCAGTTTGTGACCACAGAGGTGCTCTTAGTTACAAACATATGGTCGGTGTACATGATAAAATGTACACCGACCATATAGATGAATGTAGGTAGAGTGTAGCTGGAACTAATGTTTTAGGACCCAACTTTTTTTTTCTCGTTTTCTGTGCTCTTTGTATGATCAGCTAGAGGAGTCCAACCGCACGCTAACTGTGGATGTAGCCAATCTGGCCAATGAGAAAGAGGAGCTCAATAATCAGCTCAAAGAGCTTCAGCAGCGTAAGTGCACCGTTTTCTCCTAATGTTCTGTTTTAGTTAGCTAACCTTTTTGACTGATCTTTTTTGGGCATGCATTTAAAAACCAAAAGTACAATTTTATAATGGGTTCTCTGTTTAATGGGAAGCCAATGCAAAAATTCTAAAGCTGGAGTGATATGTAAGCATTAACGTATGTGCAGTGCAATTCTGACCATACCGAACTCTGTATTCTCCTAAGTGGAGGACTTGCAATATTTATTAACTGCTAAAAAGATTGGTTTACAAGTAGAAGGAGTAGTAGTGTCAAATGACTAAAAGGGTCCACAGAAAAGCATTTGTGTATAACTATATAAAACGTATTATAATTTATCAAATATTGCCCAAAAGAAGCATAAAAATAAGAAACAGTATATGGCCTAATATAGATCCCAGGGGGACACCTGAGCACTAAAAGGTGAAGAATGTCCACCTAAGCTTACATATTCCTTACACTCAGTCATATAGGACTTGACCTAGTCTAGTACAATGCCAGAAATCCCTATGGCCTGTGTATATGAAGGTCAGCTGCTGAACTGCAAATAAGTCTGTAGCTGTCTGGCAACAGCCTTTAGCTAAGAAAGGCAAGTTGGAGATTGGCCTGTAGTTTAGTAAACCAGGGGTAAAGATCATGTTTCCTCAGCAGAGGTTTCAAGAAGGTATTTTAAAAAGTCTGTTAATGATATCGGTAATGACTGGGCACATTGCTTTAAACAAGCTTACAGTAATGTAGTTTATAGGGCATCTAGAGTGGAGGTAAAAGGCTCCAATTTAAAAACAGTTCTGGACTCTACAGACTTATTAACTGCAGCAAAACCACTAAATGAAGAATTATGGGCTGTAACAGGAACAATGTCCCAAGGAGAAAAAGAAGTGTTCAGTAACATTAGTCATGTTTCGCCAAACGTTATCTATCTTTGTTTAAAATAAATCAAGAAAACAATGATGGACGTCAATCGAATTAGCCATTTTGGGTTCATCTGAGTAAAAAGCTAATTGTGGAAAATAAATGTCTGGTAGTATATCTATTTCTCTCAATTAGCACAGAACAATATTTGGATCTTGCTTCTCCCTGTCAGAGAATAACTGTGCTGATGTTCTCTATAAGCCAATTGAAGGACTAGGGAAGTCTTCCTCCATTTGCGTTCAAGCCTGCGGCCCTCTGCTTTTAAAACCCTTAGCTGGGAAGTGAACCATGCAAGTGAGGGAAAGGGTACGAATTTTCTCAGGGGATAGCTCATAGAAGATGTTATGTAAAACTTGATTGTTTGATTCAACAGACTCATCAAGTGTGAAAGCATTAAAGGGGGAAGGGGGCAGACAGGGCCACAGACAGTTTTCAGAGCAGCTGAAAGATGGTTCACATCAGTATTTCTAGTGTTACGAAAAGTTACAGTGCAGCTTTTCTGCTTTTCTTGTAGGAAACCAAGCATTTTATACAATTTTTTTATTCTGCTGTTGGGTTGCATGTGCAGTACCATTCAGAAGTTTAGACACCTGATTTAATGTATATTTTTCATAAGCTTAAAGGCATTTTGAGCTAAAAGTTTTTGCTTAAAAGCTTGGAACCGATTCTAAGACAATTTGAGAAGGTGAAGTTTACAATTTCCAAGAAATAAAATGTCCCCTGTTCAAGTGTTCAGCATGTGTGGAAGTTCAAGCCTATTGGAAAAGCTTCTCAGGTAGCTCCTCATTAAGCTGCTACAGAGAATACCAAAAGTCTATAAAGCTGCATTAAGTAGTGAAAGGAGGGAGTATTTTAAAGAATCTCACATATAAGTTCCTGAAACTAAGAACACAAGAAAACATTTTTAATAAATAGACAGGTCTAAAGCAGTGACCAATCTACTGGTACTGTATGTTGAGTGAGTGTAGATGAAAATTAGACTGATGTTTAGTGTTTGTTTGTTGAATGCAGAGTTGCTAAAGACTAAAGAAGACGAGAAGCAGCTGAGCCTTATAAGGATGTCCTTTGAGAAGCAGCTTCAGTCAGAGAGAACACTGAAGATCCAGGTGGGTGTTGTTTTGTATGTAAACACATAAAATAGCAGGTATTTCTTTGTTTAACACCCTTTGACACAATGGATTTAAAGCCCCAGAGAACCTTCTTTTCTGTCCATGTAGGTTAACCCTTGAATGTCCAGGGTCCACCGGTGGGCCCAAAGTTTCATTATTTATTTATAGTATATTTAATTATTTCTGTCTTGTTTTTTTCAGTCTTCACTGGTTTAATATACCACTCAATTTCAGTATTATATAAACATTTTTTACGTTTTACACTGTGTTCCCTGGGACGTGTAAGTTTACTTTCGGAACTTAAAATGGTTGTGCTTTCTTTCCAGTCGTATTACAGCTGTGGATTGTTGGTTTTAGGTGTGTAATGTTTTTTTCCTGTTTTTAGGCCGTTAATAAGCTGGCTGAGATCATGAACAAGAAGGAATCGGCGCCCAGTGGCCGCCGTGGCGACGACATCGAGCTGCGCAGGAGGGAGAAGGAAAACAGGAAGTTGCAGCTGGAGCTGCGCTCCGAGAAAGAGAAACTCAACAGCACCATCATCAAATACCAGAAAGAGATCAACGAGATGCAGGCTGTGAGTGAGCATGCCACCTCTGATACAAGCAGAATACAACCTAAGCACGACTTAAATACAACCAAAACACCTTACACAACCATTCAATATTTTATAATCACTTCATATTAATAACTGTTATTCAGTAATAACCTTATTCAATATACACTGTAGACTGAAATGTTGTAAACTGCAAAACTTAAACCAACAGTTTCACAATTGAAAGCAAGTTGAGGACAATAAGAATTTCTTAAATTTTTTACATCATGAAAACACAGCAAAAACTTTAATTATCTATTTATTTGTCACAAAATTACTATAAATAGCTATTTGATCAGTGAGATTTGGTCACTGCTTTTTAAAAAAGAGGCGTATTAATTTTATCGTAGGTTGGTTATTGATGCAATACAGCTTTATTTATGTGCAATTATTATGGAATCTATGGAGTTCTGTTTTTTTGAAATGTCTTTTTTACTGCGTCTACAAATGGTTTGAAACTAATAGAATATTAACATCATGTTACAGTCATTTTATGCTTGTACAGTCATATGCAAACATTTGAACACCCTGCCATATCATTTTCTAATTGAAAATACATCCTCCAAAAGGAAAAAATTTTATTGGCATTTGTTGGCAAATTTTAGTGCACAATTTCTAATTAGTTGCTGAGTTTAACATATTGGAAAAAATATAATCTAAAATGTGTTGTAACTTTTGCACAGGCCATGTTTTTTTTTTTTCCTCAATATTTTAAATTCAGCATATAAACAGCAATTCTGCATTAAAACGTGACCAGGGACACCAGAACTTTTGCATATGATGTTATCTGCAACAACACTATCTTTATATTAATATATATATAAATAATGTTTTTTATTTACATCAAATGAGTTCTTTTAGAATCTTCTAATTTCAATTCCAATGAATTCCTACTAATCCCGACTGCTTTCTGGCTGTGTATGTCCATTTTTGTCTCTTGTGTAGTCGATAATGGAGGACTCTCAGGTGCGTTTAGAACTGCAGATGGCTCTGGACAGCAAGGACAGTGATATAGAGCGTCTGCGCAGTCAGCTGACCTCTCTCAGCATCCACTCTCTGGACACCACCAGCATCAGCAGTACAGGCAACGAGCTGGACAATGAGCTTTACCCAGGTACCACTGCTGCATCTCATGCATACATTAGACTGCGGCACCAAAAAAACACACACATATACAGTTGTGTGCAAAAGCTATGAAAATAATTTAACACATCCTCTACAGAGAACACACTTCTGCACTTTTGTTGAATTTATCATATTGCAAAGAATATGACACATTCTATGTTGTATATTTTATCTTAAACTCAGCAAATAAATAAAAATTATGCACTAAAATTAGCAGAAAATGCCATATTTAAGTTTGTTGCCTGTAGAGGATGTGTTACCTTAGAAAATCAACAAAACAGGGGGTGTTCAAACTTTTGCATATGACTGTATACAAAAATGCGGCAACCCACCATTCCCACCTGCATTTTTTTCTTCTTTACCTCTATTTTTATGTTCATCTATCTTTTTCTTCAGTTATCCTCTTTCTTTCATTCCAGATTTCTCATCTTACTCATAATCATTTTTCTCTTGCACATGTCTGTCCACTGAATCACTGCTTTTAATGTAAGTCTTTTATTCTTTTCCTTTTTAACTGTCACTCTCCACTCTCCACTCCCCCCCCCCGACCCCACCCCCCATGGTGGCACTGTAGTACGCATCACACATTCACAAACCTCGGAGTCCATGTCGTTCACATACCAGCGAAGCTCCAAGTCGGTTAGTATCGACACTCGGCCGTGCCGTATCACCCCCCTCTTCCCCTCCGACTCTGAGGAAGAGGAAGAGGACGAGGAAGTGCAGCGGCCTCGACTGGCCCTTACCTACGAGCGGCCTGCTGACTGCGAGGCTGCAGGTGACCCTGCATGGAGACCGAGATAGGCACACACACACATACACAACCATTAGTGTATGCCTCCATGTACAGTCAAAGCGTTGGACTCATCTATTCCTTTACTTTGTTTTCCACATTTTAAAGTAGAAGGATATATGTTGAGTAGCAGGGTGCTATGAAATAACACAAGTGGAATGATTCAATGACCAGAAGAGTATTGAATCAAAATGTATATTTTAAATTCTTCAAAATAGCCCCCCCCCACCTTGTCACTGCAAAAAATCATTCCTTGACAAGTGAAATTATTTTAAATCTAGTCAAAATGTTATTTGAGATTGATGTAAGCATTTTATAAGATTAAGTAATTTATTTCTACTTGTTTTAAGTAATTTTATATAGTGAAAGTGTCTTGTTCCACTGACAGATAATCAGACTTGTTTCAAGCATTATTTCTTTAAAAAAAGCAAAATTATCTGCATTAATTATTGAAAAAGCTTATCTGCATTATTTCTTGAACAAGTTGAAATTATTCGCATTAAGACACTTTCACTAGACAAAATGACTTAAAAATGAATGAAAAATATATGAGTAATATATAACCGTAAATAAGTGAAATAATCTTATAAGAATCTTAAAACAATCAATGAAGTAGCAAGGATTTAAGTCTTTAGGTTAAAATGTTTTTAAGATTACATAAAGCATACATTTAATCGCGTGAGTCCAAACTTTTGACTGACTGACTATGCGCTCACTAACACTGGACACTGTTCACAAGACAGACAGCGTTTGTCAACAGCCTGGATCACTTGAAACTTGCTCTGTTGGTGTATTTGGTGTGCAGTGTTGCTAATACTGTGTGCTGTGCCGTAGTGTGGAATAAGTGTGTGTAAATGCACCCCCCCCCCAGAGGTGGTGTGTTTTGGGGGGGGGAAGTGGGATGATTCCAAAGGCCCAATTGTGCCCTTGCATGTGATTCTTTTGGCTTACTGAAAGATGCTGAATTGAAAATGTTCATTCATTAAGTAGCTGCAGTTCAAATGGAAACAATGTGACAAAGCTGTCTAAACAAAACCCTATGTCTAAAAATACCTTTTCAACTACCTGAGAGACCATAGCAACCTCACAGAACACATTAGCAACCACCTGGTATACCATAACAACGTAGCAACACCTTGGCATGCAGTTGTGATACCTTAGAAACTGCTTAACAACACTTAGTAACCATCCGGGACATCAACAGCCTCGCAACACCTTAACAACCAGATGGGACTCTATATCAGCCGCATAGCGATACCATAGCAACCACCTGGGGAGGCATAGCAACTGCCTAGCAACACTTTAGCAAACACCTAGTATGTCTTAGCAACTCCTTAGCAACTACCTGAGAAAGCATAGCAAAAACCTAGCGACACCTTAGCAACCTCCAAGGATAAAATAGCAATGGCTTAAGAACACCTTAGCAGCCTGGGATACCATAACAGCTGCTGTTTACACTACCAAGTAATGAAATTACCACCTTTAGCTTTAAATAACCCACAAAAAATACATTTACACAGCATAAGCAATGAGGTTAAAGTCTACAACTGTTCTAACTTTTCAGTGTTGTTAGTCAGCTTTTTCAAGTTACTTTCTGGTTAATTTTATGATTTGTAAACACATCCTTCTTCCCTGTGTACCACAGACTCTAGTCTTGAGGGCTGGCTGTCTGTTCCAAGCAAGAACACAAAGAGATTTGGATGGGATAAGAAGGTAAAATACCAGTTTAACAAACTGTGAAACACAGTTATTGACACTTTTACTTTGCGTAATAATATGTGTAATGTATATGGTGTATTTGTTTTTATTTTGTAGTATGTGGTGATGAGCAGTAAGAAGATCCTGTTCTATGACTCAGAGGAAGACAGAGAGCAGTCCAACCCATTCATGATACTGGACATAGAGTGAGTGTACACATGCATGTGAGAGGTGGCACCCATCTGATATCAGTATCTGCTGAATTCGACCTGACACTGACACCTGGAATCAGGTATGAGTATCTGCTAAATCAACTGATTCCAGGTATTAGTATCGAGTCAATTTCAGCAGAAAATGCTGGGTTTGAGATCAAGGGGGGAAAAATTCATCCAATCCGGTCCTGTAACAAATCCAGGCTGAAATAGCATTGTGCGATGAGACATTGTTAGCTGTGTGTTTGATTCTGTATGAGAGTAGAGTGTTTCAGCATAATAGCTTACTTTTAGATGCTCATCTTAAGTGAAGTGCTTAAAATAGAATTAGCTCATTTTGAAACATTGTATGTTTTAAAGAAGAAATGTAGAATCCCATCTGTATCGTCTGATACTCAAGACTTCAGTATTGGTATGAGAATTGGTTTGGGTAAAGTGGTATCGTGCCATCTCTAATGCACATAGTATAATATGAGAGTAATATAATATGACAATTAAAAAGAAAAACAACAATAAAGCCAAACGCTTTAAGGCTCTATGTTGCTGCTGCTCTGCAATGTTTTCTTATGACAGTGACAATATACATTCGCTGGCCACTATATTAGGTATGTCTATCTCGTATCTGCACTCATTGTCCACATCATCAGTTCCACTTACTATATAGGTGCACTTTGCAGTTCTACAATTACAGACTGTAGTCCATCTGTTTCTCTGCATGCATTGTTATTCTCCCTTTACCATGTTAATCAAAGGTCATGGCCACCACAGAGCAGGTACTATGTGGGTGGTAGGTTAGTCTAACCCTAGACACTGAAATGGTAGTGGTATGTTAGTGTGTTTTGTACTGGTATGAGTGGATTTTAAAAACTCCATGCTGCTTACACGGTTTGCTCAGGCACAAGAGGACCATTTGAGAGAAGCGCTCTGCTTCACTTCAGGTTGTCTTCAGTCCAAAAAAAGGCGCACCTAAGATGTTTTAGACTACTTTATGGCCCTGTCCTCTTCTAGAGAGACTGGACTGTCATTTTATGTACAGGCTCGATCATCACTTTGTAGCTTCAGAAGGAATATTTATCTATGACAGTACAGAAAATGTTGTGATGACTCGAAAGACTGCACTGTGATATTAGAAGTAGAAGCTCCTCAACAATACAAAGCATAGAGTGGGTTAGTGTATGATAATAATGATAATGATAATATTAATAACAATTATTACTACTAGTAGTAGTAGTAGTAATAGTAGTAGTTGTAGTAGAAGTAGTAGTGGTAGTATTACTACTGCTACAAAAATTACAATAATTGACATTATTTACAATTATTTGACCAGAAAGTGACACAATTGATGACTAGGTCAGTATATACTGTTAATGGTCCAACTCCTCAAAAACCCACCTAAATATTTCTAGTCCATGTTTTTAACATCTGGAATACAGTGACAACATAAGCGCAGTGAGGTAGCTAGCAAATTGCTATTGTTAGCTAACAAAACTGTTATTCTCTCACAAGAGCTACTTTTTATTTGTACCACTTATAATGTGTTCTCAGCACACGCAACACAAATCTGCATGCGCAACTGGAGTTTTGGGGGGAAGCACATGACATCAATAGGCTAGCCACAGGCTTGTTGTTTAACGGACAATGTTGACGAGTCCACCATCGCCCCCTACCAAAGTCAGTTTAAGTGGAGCCTGGCCAGTTCCTATTTCTACCGTTAGATCAAAAATATGATGGCAAAACACTAGAGGGCACCCGCAAGCAAGTCCTCAATGAACAGGGGTGAATGGAGCTAAATGGCTAAAATTGAAAAATTAAACTTGTTTCTAACCATTTGTGTGGGACATTCCTGTAATTTTGGAAAGTAGAAGTAAGTATTGAATTAAAAAAAGAAAAAAACTTACCTGTATCTTTTTGTTTACTACAACAAACATGTTTTGGGCAGTAGGGCGCCAGCATTACTGCTATTAAGGGCTGATTGTTTGGCAAGCTGATCAGCTCATTGACTGAGTGAAGTGGTTTGCACTCATTGCATCACAAACGTACATAAGGCACCATTAGAAAGTCGTATAACTGAGTTCAAAAGCATTTACATTAAATATGAATCTGCACAAAAGCTCCATAGTAGGCCATTCATTTTGAACTCGCTTAGGAGCGCCCTCTAGCGTTTGCTAAACCTGTAAGATTTTCCTAACTACAAATTCTCTGCCCCTGCTTTGAGCTCCACCTTCACAAGTCTCCCACTTCTTTGCAAATTTCCGAGTTTTTTCCCACCCTAATAAGTCTATTTTTCCAGCCACATTTAGCCCAAAGTTTCTTATGGTTGTCTCCAGACGTTCTCGCTACGAGATGATGTTTGACCCAAGACTAGCTCATCTGTTGCTTTCCAGTTTGTGTTAGTCATCCTCTGTTTCTTCATCAGTGGTCAGTTTATGGCCTCAGGATGCCTTCACCATCACGTCAGCGTAACTGCAGTGCTGAGAATGATCCACCATATGAACTACTATCTTTAACTGTAGTACTGCCTATAGTGCACCTATATGGTAAGCAAAGCTGATAAAATGGATAATGAGTGTAGATACAATGTGGGTGGACATAACAAAGTGGCCAGTGAGTTTATAACATCATTTTGTTCAATAAACTGAGTACTATAAACTGAGGTTATAGCAGCAACTAAGGGCCTCTATGTACAAGTAAGTGAATTTTAAATGCTCTTGTGCACTTTAAATTCTCTTCTTTTATTTCCTTTTTTATAATAATGTGAGTCATTGAATGGTGCAGTGAGACAAAGCTGGGTTAGAATTTTTTTTTGTGCAGTGAGAATTAAATAGCATTACATTTGCTCTGTTTTCCTCTCTTCTTTCAGTAAACTGTTCCATGTTCGGCCTGTCACTCAAACTGATGTTTACCGTGCAGATGCCAGAGAGATCCCACGCATTTTCCAGGTAGCATGCAGTGTCTTTGTCCATCAGTTATACAACACTGCCCATCAAAACTACCCTTATATTATGTTTAATTTTCACTGTTATTTTTTAGGTAAGTAAGAATGCCTGTAAAAACATGTATTCACCAGCACTTTGGGTATATTTAGTTTCTTCTATAGTTTGAAAAGCAGCTTTTGCCTAAATACTGATTTGATAGTTTTCTGCCCCAAACTATCACTAAAAAGCATATCATTTGTTTGGTTCTGTAACGTTCCACTGGAAGATTTAAGTGCTGACATCACAACAAGGAAATTTGTGGGATATTGCATTATTCCCACAGTAGTACCTCATCAGTATTTACATTAGTGTTTCAGTTTCTGAGAAGAAAAAATCAAGATCTAAACACATTTCTGTTTAAAATCTTATGTTAATGTAAACAAATAAAGAAAGCATGCCCATTTAGTAACATCCTCTTGAAAAGCTAGGTGTGCCCAAAGCATCAAAAGCTCCATAAATCAAATATGACAATATGCTGCTGTCAGAACAAAACCTTGTATTTCCATTTTTGTCGTTTTTCAGTTTTTGACATACTTTGAAAATGCCTGCTGCCCTTTACATTGTGTGTAAATTTCAAGATGAATGGACCTAAAGAAACGGCCCAAAATTACTAGGAAAGAATTCTGGTTCCATTGACTTACATTAAAAGTAAAGTGTGTTTTTCCTTCTCCTGTAAAGTTACCATTTTGGAGATACAAGGTTTTGTATCAACAACAGCGAATAGTATTATAATGATCTACAGTTGTATGCCAAAGTTTGGGTGCCCCAGGTCAAATGACATGTTTTGTTAATTGAAGTGAAAATACGTTTACACATCCTCTACAAAGAACATACTTCTGCACATTTTGATACACAATTACTCTTAAATTTAACATAGTGGAGCAAAATGTATAATATAAAATGTTGCCTGTGCAAAAGTTATGGCACATACAAAACATGTTATTTGACCAGGCGTAAACTTAAAATACATCATAGTCATTCTCTCTCTTCCTATTTCTTGATCTCTTTCTGCTTCTCTCTTTTCTTTAGATCCTCTACGACAACGAGGGTGAGAGTAAGAAGGATCAGGAGGTTGCCATGGAGCTTTCTGCGGCCGAGAGGTCAGCATGCATCTCCCACAAAGGTCATGAGTTTGTGCCGACGCTCTATCATTTCCCCTCTAGCTGTGAGGTGTGCCCCCGGCCACTCTGGAATGTCTTCAAGCCCCCACCGGCCCTGGAGTGCCGTCGCTGCCGTGTGAAATGCCACAAAGACCACCTGGATCGCAAAGAGGAAGTTCTTGCGCCCTGCAAAGGTTAGGAGGTCACAGTACCTGTGCATTGTGATTTACAGTGCTTTAACATTCTCTGTTTTTACCTAGGCTGTTCATTCATCACTCAAATTGTTTTCTAACTCCATTTGTAGATGTTTTCCATTATATCTCTTAAAAGAAAACAATTTAGCCTATATTTCAGGATTCTTCTTGGTGTTATACATGTTCAAAACCAACAGAGATACAAACACTCTGGCCTATCCACCCATATATATTTAATCTAAGTATGTGTAATCAGTTGCCCACAGCAAGTTTACTAGCATTAAAGTGTGCATTTGAGATTGGTGTTATTAGACCATCAATAGGAAACTAGTTTAAAAATATGGGCCATATTTTTCAAACTCAGTATGTCCTGTTTCACACTTATGCAGTTTAGAATGTTGTTGACAGCAGTTTTAAAGAATGTTTTCTCCAAAGTTTTCTCAGTAGAGCCTTAATTAGGACTGAAATTTTTAACTTTCTGTCCCAAACCAGCCCAGGCCTGACAAAATTTTGTCCAAACTAGCTCAAGATATTTGGTTCCTATGTTTTCAAACAGTCCCTCTTATTAGTCTGACTATGGATTAGATCAGTAGTTCCCAAAACTTCACAGTCAATACAGTCAAGGTCCTCTTTGTTCATAGTAAGTAACATTTTGCTTCTCTAAGGTCTTCTTGAATTAACATCCTCAGACTTTCATTGATAGGTTAAGCTCTTGATAGTACATGCAGCATAAACACACAAATACACAACATTTCACCAGGCTCATGTTAACTCTTGATGAATGTTGATTGGTCAAGCAAAGAAATTATGTAAGTAACATTCTAAAAGCATCCAGCTGAAACTAGAAAGTTCTAAAACTAGTTCACAGTGATTTAACTGCCTCTTAAAACATCTTAAAACTGTCTCGTTTTCTTGGATTAGCACAAACTGGGCTTAGGAATGCTGACTGCAGTCAGCTTATGCCTGGATGTAATCATTTATGTACAAAATGTAGTGTTTGTGTGTAGATGCATGTGTATTTGTGAGTTTGTGTCTCCTGTGCTGTGTGTAACTCTCGCTGTGTGTCTCGTGCAGTGAACTACGACATGTCCACGGCTAAAGAGCTGCTGTTGCTGGCTAGCTCTACGGCGGAGCAGCAGAAATGGGTCAGTCGCCTGCTCAAGCGAATCCCCCGCAAATCCTCTGCCCCAGTCCCAGCCCTGACCAACACACCACCTCAGGAGACCCCGGTTGGGTCACCGCCGCTGCCCTCACCCCACTTATCCCCCCGCAACTCCCCAAAACTCGCTCCTAGAGGAGCTATCAGGGTGTCAAACAGAGGCCCTCCGCCTTCTGCCAAGACCAGGTGAGTGACCAGAGACATGACCTCCAGTCAGGTGATTTCATGTACAAATTATATAATATTGATAATGAATGGTTTATCAATAAAGGAGAAAGTTAGAGGCTCTTAAAAAGTTCAAACACATACAGCTGAAATACAGTGCAATACAATACAGTACAGTTCTCCTTTCATGTGTAGGCAGTTTAAAGCATTAATTTGGAGAACCTCTGGATAATTTAGTTTCATAATTTCTAATACCCGGCCTTCTAATCGCTTTATCTAAATCTTATTCTAATGTGCCTATCTAAACTGTGTTGTCTGTGCTGTATATGCGTTTTCTCATAGCCATGCTTTTATCTTACTTAATTCCATTCCATTGACCCCAGATAACCATTAGACAAATAGCAGTTTACAATCATGGAAATTATAATTACAGTTAGAGAACGAATCAGCTGCCTTTTAAAGTCATAACTCATATCATACTTTCTTTGTACTACATGCATGTTAAGCTGACATGATCAATTTGTTGTTTGTGAGAATAACCCTACAGGTCTGTGAGTGTCCCCGTTTCTGATAAGCTGATTAGCTTATGACATCCTGATTTGGCAGCCCTGTACTAAATCATCCCCACCTTATTTTAAATAAATACAGAAAGTTTATTATAAATATATAAAGTGTATTATTAAGGCAGTATATAGCCTTTACCCTCCAGTGAATCATTTTTTTCTCTAGACTCTAAATTGTTGGAATGGCTAACACAAATATAACAGTTCACATTATTGTAGCATTGTTGAGTGGTCTGCTGTTAAATAGTAGACTGGCATGTTTCATAATGGATTTAATAGCTGTAGAGTGCAGTTGTTAGCAGTGGCATTTTTAATCAGTGCTACCACAGATTTAGGGTTTACTGTAGCCTAGCATAGCACAGGCTTTCATCAGAAGTTTTAATTAGTAATTTAATTTACTTGCTAAACACTACTTTCATACAGGACTGATACTATAGAATTGGTCAGAAATACAGATAGCCCACACACCCAAGCCCAAATTTTTTGATAGCAGTTACAGCATTTATGTTGTGCAGATGTAAACAAGTCTAACATTTGGACTGGATTACGATCAGATCACATAAACCACATTCAGAGCTGATTAAATGGATTAAAATGTTTTTCCTTTATTTAATAGCAGATTATGTACTGGTAATAAGAGGTGTGAAACCATGTTAACAGTAGGTCACTAGAAGTAAAACAAAAACAACGTACATGTTGATGTAAGTCTTATGCAGGATCACACTTTGGTGAAAAGTGTAAAAGGAACTCAGCCAAAGTACAAACCTCAATTTCACAACAGTTTGGACAGTATATGAAATGCTAATAAAACAGTGATTAGTAGATTCTTTTTTTTTTTGGGGAATTCCAAAATTGATGCCTGCAGCACTTTTTAAAGAAGTGTGGACAGGAGCATGTGTACCACTGTATTGCATCACCTTTTCTTTTTGATTGATCCATTTTTGAAATCAGAATTTTTCTCATTCCTCCATTATACATCTTCAGCTGTGCAAACGTAAGGGACCTTCTTTGTTGTGTTTTGTGCTTCATAATGCCCCACACATTTTCAATGGGAGACAGCTCTGGACTGCAGACGGGCCATTCTAGCACCCACACTCTTAATTACACAACCATGCTGTTGTAACGTTCAGAATGTGGCTTGGCGTTGTCATGCTGAAATAAGCATGGATGTTCCTGCAAAAGATGCTGTTTAGAAGGCAGCATATGTTGCTATTGCCTCTTCATACCATGACAGACCCTGGCTTTTGAACTTTATGCTGGAAACAATCTGGATGGTGCTTTTCTTCTTTATTCATTATTTTCATAAACAATCCGATATGTTGACTCATCAGACCACAGTAAGTGTGTATATTGTGCATCAGACCATTTCCAATCAGAGAAGTCAGCAGCTTGGTTAGTCTCAACCCATCCTTGCTTTTAAAGGATCAGTAAATGACTGGATGCTCCTTTATTCCCAAACATGATTAAACACCTGTTTAAGATGTTTGAACATTTTATAACATTCCTGGTCTTAAATTGCCACTGTCCATAATTTTTTGTCATACTTTGCAGGCATTGATTTCAGAATGAGCGTATATTTACAAAAAGCAATGAAAGGTCTATCTTGTCTTTGAACAGTTTAAATTTAAACACAGGTCAAAGTGGATTTATAAGTCACTGCTTTCTGTTTTATTTGCATTTCTCTTGTGGAATTCAGATTTGTGTATCTAGATATCATTAGAACATGAAACACATGTTAATGCAAAGTGTGAACAGCCTCCAAGACAGAAGGGCAGAGTCTGGGTAGGGAAACTGTGACAGTGATATATCCATCTCATTTTTCATTAGACCGCTATATTCCGACATTATGGCTGAAATTTTTGGTTGGGGAACAAAAGTGTTGTTAATTAGGTCACGTAATTAAGTAATGGAAAATGTGCTTACTTGTTAAGTTATTGTTTTATGACTCATTAATATCTCAAGCATTTCTGGGAGATCATGCAGTTTGCAGTTATCACTACAGCAAAGTGAAAACCTTGAGCATAAACCTCTCAAGTAAGGGCAGCTTCAAAGTACATATGAACATCGCTTTATAATAACTGCTTGAAAAAGCTCAGTTATTATTATTGAAATTCGTGCTCATAAAACCCGACCAGATAAAGAAATGCCAGTTGAACATCACTGGTTGCTGCTAGTTTACACTTTATATTCTCTGTAAATGGATATATTCTGCCCTCATTAGAGTAGGCTGAGCAGAAAGCTAACTGGCTAACTGTCCAATAATAAAAGACAACTTTGAGGTCAAGCCTTTGTAGAAAGACTTACTTAAAAACTGAGGCATACAAAGTAATGAATGTTATATACATGCCTGTTATGAACTTAACACGTCTTTATTTAAACCAGAGCTTACATCAAAATCCATCATAATGCGGCGCTAACCCCACTAGCTTGGTGCCAACATACCATACGAGGAGCATTATCTAAAAATAAAGCAAATAAATAAGTAAATTAGCAGATTTCAGCATTATACACTACTATTTAATGGTATGTTTTTTATGGTTTTATGCCTGTGCCTGACAGTTTTGATCAAAATTACAAAGTTGAAATAATATGACCATTAGCATGTAGGCTATAAATAGAATTGTCTTACTAAAGCATTTCTCTCACTGCAAGTCCAGATCGATTACAAAGCATTTAATCCTCCCAGTAATAAAGATTATTTACATTTTTATTTATTCCCATGTTTCTGTCATGTTAAGATCATGTTAGGTGTTATAGACCGTTCACACTTCACAGAAAGGCCACTCATCATGGGGTGCAGGAAAAAGATAGATTGGAATGGGATGTTTGATTATACAGTCAAATCAGTCTTTTGCCTTGAAATCCAATTGCCGAAAGATGACCTCCAGTCATAGGTTTCCAATTCCAATACTGCGTACTATGTAAGTCAAATTTGAATTCTCCTTATTGGGTGTTTATTTATTGGTGAATCGCTCTCTTTGCGCTGCTAACCTCTTATAGCCCTGGCCCCATGCTCCGAATCATTCTACACTGACTTCTTCACCCTGACCTTGCTCCTTCACCCTGCAACTGTGTGTGTGTGTGGACAGTAAGTATGCTGCGCAGACCAGCCTGCTTATCTGCTGGCCTGTTTTGCGCTAAAAACCTCACCTGGCTCTGCAGCTTCACTGTTTGTCTTGTTTTGTGGAAGATGAAGATGCAAGAATGTCATTCACTAACATCACAGAATAACATCAGCATTTATTCCATGCAAACTCCAACCTTAACTAGCCGTTCAGCAGCAGCTTGTTCAGTCTGACCTTTATTAGCCAGTGCTAATAAACTCTTCTCCTTGAGTCAGTAAATACAGTTCTCCAATTCTTTGAGCTTTTATTGAGAGTAAAATGACCTGCTTGGTGAGTCTTTTCATGTCACACAGCAAAACAAATGTCCCTTATACCTTTGACAAAGACTTACGGGCAAAAACATTGTACCAAATAAGGAAGATGAAGGAAAATGTGAAGAGTTTTTAATCACAGCACATGACTGGAAGGCAATGGAAGGAGCCTATACATAACCAGGGTGACCCCTCTCCTGTTGCAGTGTGATAGAGTTTGACCTGAACGACTGGGGTTGGGCTCTTCATGATGAGGATGATGATGATGATGATGACGATGTGTTTGACTTCTAAGGATGTGGGAGGCTCTAGGGTAACCAGAGTGACACATTAACAATGTGTTGGCATCTGTAGCAGCTTAAAGTGTGGTGTGTCAGTGCTAAAGGATTTTTTGTGGTGGATTTGAATGAGTAACACTGGCAAAAATTACATCCAAACAAGTTAAACTGCATTACCTTTGATGTGTGATTGTTGAACATTATTGGGAATGCATGTGAAATACAGTAGATTCATCTACAATTTTGGATTACTGATGATGAGTAAGGTAAGTATGGCTCCTACGGCAACATATTAAATTGATGTTCTGACCAAACACAGGTTTCCCCAAATGTGGTGGATCAGCCAAGATAAGTCTGGTGTCTGAAGTTTACTTCTTAAGTTAGCTATGAGTTTACTTCTGTTTGAGTGCACATTATTGTTTTGAATGACTTTTTGAAGACTGTTGTTTTTATTTTCAGTACACTTAACGGGGAGATTTTTTTCATTGCTACTTTTTTGTTTTAGTAATAGCTTACATTAATGATAGTAATGATAATAACACTGTTTCTTACACCATATGACACTGTTATCTGTAAAAATGGACAAAAGTACAAAGTTCAGGCTGATACTACTGTTTTGGCTATGTCCATTTTTAGAGAACACTATGTAACACTAAACTAAAACAACAAACTTCAGACTAGGGCTGAGCAATATGATGATATTTATCATTATCATGATTGCCACAATATACTTTACTGATATTGTACCTAAAAACTTCCAAACAGTATGATTACAAGGAGAGCATAATTAGACCCGTTTAGTGCAGTATGTGTGTATATATATATATATATATATATATATATATATATATATATATATATATATATATATTATTTTTTTTTTTTTTAATTATTTTTTTAAATATATATATGATTTACCATCTATTGTGAAAACCTTAAGTAAGATGTTACATTTTTCCATATCGTCCCCCTCTACTTCAGACACCAAACAAATCTCGATGGCTAATTATATTTGGGGAATTTATGTAAATTTGGTATTTGGCTAAATATTTGCTTTAATGCTATGTGTTTTATTGTGACTAGATACTGGGAAACCCATGTTTTTTCGTTTGTAATGCATGAAGCCAGTGTGTGGACTGCATTTCACGTGTGGCTCTTATAAACTGCTCTGATGCACTGTTTGGATTCATAATGTACAGCCGAGGTCTTCAAGGCTGCACCTTGGAATTCAGTCTCCGGTCCTGGCTTTTGTAATCTGTAAACTGGTTGTAAACTGATTTGTTGATGTAACTGATTGGCCACCTGTTGCCACTGTCACTACCAGTGATTACAGAATCCAGGACCAGAAACCAGATTCAGGGTCTGGATTTGAAGACCTCTGTTGTACAATATACTACAGTCTGCTTTAGGACCTTAAAGCAGGGCCTAATCTTGTCCACAAAGGGCCAGTGTGGCTGCAGGTTTTCATGGCAACCAAGCAGTAGCTCACCTCATATAACTGATCAGTTGTTTGAAGACAGACCAATTTATTAAACAAGTGGACTCAAGTGTTCTTCTGCTTGTGTGGACCGGCCCTTGTGGAAAAGATTGGTGTCCCCTGGATTAAAGCATGAACCTGACAACTCTTCCTCTGCTTGCACTTTTGCAGCTAACCTTGATGAACGTTGGATCGGACACAGCCCCATGTAGCAGCTGCTGCAGCTCACTGGACATTACAGAAAGGACCTTAGAGGCAAATCCAGGCAAAAGACTAATGAACTACATCTACTGGTGAATATGATATGAATGGGTATCGTATGTACCCCACCATTTAACCCTGCACATGCAAGCGTGCCAGGTTAACCTGAAGAGTAATATGTGCCTTTTACCAGAGCTGGGCTTTATATAGCTGCCTTTATATGAAAAGTTCCCAAAGATGTCAATGTTGCAGTGTGAAAGTATTGAAAAGTATTAAGATATTATTTTGTCTTGTGTTTGTGTGTTTGTGTGAATGAATGGTTTTGTATGTGAGTTAGTTAGTCAGGAAATCATGATATTCTGAATTTGTATACTCAGATATTCTATTTCTATAAGAAAAGTAGCCAGACATTTAACTGCAAACACTACATTTTAGCTTGCTCAATACCAAAAGGATACATAATCATGGAGGATTCAGAAAGAGCCAGTTTGTCCGATGTCATGGTATCTATTTGAAGGAAGGAATACAGAACACTAGTTTTTTGTTTGAAAGATGCAGTGCACTGCACATTTCATTTTATGCATTGTCAGTTCATAACTAGACATACAACTACCTAAGCATGTGCAGCTCTGGTCCAAACTCTTTTGTATTCAACATCTATAGAACACACAGAAAAAGTCTACTGACTAAATCCTGGTTAACGTTGTGAAACACTAAAAAGATTTATTTGAGAAAAAAATAAATGTTTTATTTGGTGAAAATATTTGGTTTTCTTTTTTGTGAATGCATGCCATATATAACACAACTGCATAGAAACTACACAAGTGAAGACTGATGTACTGTCAGGTTAGATCCTCTGTTGATACTAAAGGTATAAAAATATGTTCCCACTTATAACCTCATAACCTTACAGGCAAGACACAGACTGCCCATCCAAAGTGTATGTATGTATATTTGATTAGAAACACTACCTTGTTCTTCCACTCACTGGTTATTGTAGCCTATATGTTGCTGCATAATTGATCTGTTTCTGACCGCAGGACCACTGTTGATCAGTTATTGTTTAGGTAGTGGATCATTCTCAGCACAGCAGCGACTCGGTAGTGTGTGTTGCGCTGATACAAGTGTATCAGACGCAGCTGTTTTTTACACACGTCAGGGTCACTGCTAGGTGTGGACCATCACCCAAAAAGATCCAGTCAAGGGTGTCACTGTGTTCACAAACTGACTACTGATGAAGGGCTGGCGGACGACTAACAAACTGTGCATCGAAACATGGGCTACAGTCTCAAACTCTACACCAGCAAGGTGGAATGACAAGGGCAAGGGTTCCTAATAAAGTGGCCGGTGAGTGAGTGAGTGAGTGAATGAGTGAGCGGGTGTGTGTGTATATATATATATATATATATATATATATATAAATTTCCAGTCAAAATGGCCAAGTACAAGTTTTTCATTTTTCAGAAGTTAATATTTGAGATTAGGTATGAGATAATGCACTTGCATAAGAAAGGGAAGAGTAAACTTGAGTGGAAAAAACCTTTAGTAAAATTGTTTTTTTGACAACCATGCACGATCTGGCAGACACCCAAAAGTGTCGCCATCAGTTAAACAGTACTTGATAGCTTTCAACTTGGAGAAACACCAGAAAATCAAGCTCCTCTCTTGCTTTAGATCTTAAAAAAGGGAGCTGCTGCTGAGGACAATGTGCACTAGAACACTGAAACTGTACATTTGAGATGTGGAGTAAGCTTGTATGGACTGATGTGTGTAAATTTATAACTGGTATACTTACATAAAATGCAACTAACCGCACACTGAACTTTGGAGGTGTGGAAAAATCTCCCTGTAGATTTCTTTGAAAAACTGAAAGCAAGTCTCCTGAAAAGAACAGATGTTGTAATAAATGCAAAAAGTGTTGGTTTTCTGCATTTTTCCCGATGCTGTAAGAGAAATAACTTGTACTTAATGCCTGTTTCGACTGGAAATAAATGAAAATGACTGTCTGTATTCTTTGACATATATAAAACCAGTTTATTTTTTGGAAAACAATATCATCTGGCAATGTTTGTTACAATAATTAAAAAACAAAAAAATAATAAAATGCAATTTTAAAAATGACACATTCCCTTAAGTATACTCCTCTAGCAGCTATTACTCACTGTTTTTCCAGGTATTCTTAATATACAAAGAAAGTATGATGAATGTATAGGTTACTTGTTTATTTAGTTAGTCACAAATATTTACCTGCCATATTGTTTTCCTCCAAATAAACCCACATTGCAAACCCACAAAGAAAACATGCTTATTTGTAGTAAAACATTTCAAGATGATATGTGTTCCCAAACTTTTGAGTAGTTAGTTGTACGGTTAAACTGTGCGTGTATTGCAGAGAAATAATGGATGCGTAAGTGTTGCACATTTGCAATGGTAATAATAGTATACAGTGTGACTCTGTCTAGTTCTAAAGTTCAGAGCTTAAGAACAGTAATAGTTTTTGACCCCTGGGTGAATGAAAGCTGCTCTCGTTCCCCTCAGCTTGGTCACAGGTTGGTCAGTGAGTGGCAGTGTGAAGGTCAGCGTTCACTTTGTCGCCATAGCAGCAGCCCAGGAGCTCATTTCTCATTTCAGCTTTTGGCCATTCTGCTTGTAGAAGACCACAGTGGCCAGGACCCAGCCGTTGAGTGTTGTCATGACAACGAACCGCAACAGGACTAGAGAGCAAGAGAATAGCAAGGCAAGGATGGTTATTTCACACAAACCTTCTCAAACTCTTAAAAGTGCCCAATGCTGCGGCCCACCAGAACTGAGGTCTGTCCAGGACTTAACAGGGAAACTCCATATTAATGCCAAAGGTTTTATACTCACCTTTCAAATCCCCAGAGGTGAGAACAGTAGTCAATATTCTGGCTAAAAGCAAATAAGAATACAGAATAGTGAGGAGCTTTTCTTTACAGATCTGCAGCTTCATAGCTTCATATTCATATTCCTTCAAACAGCTTAGATGGAAAATGGTTTAGATTGGCTGTACTGTTGTAGGCTTACCCATACAGGTGTAAGTGGACATGGCCCAGGTGAGAGCGCTGACTTGACCTGCATCCTTAGTTTGCCACAGACACTGCAACTGAGCGAACCTGCTGCTCGCACTAATGAATGTACACAGGCTCTGTGTTTCAACACACACACATATGCATTTTCAAAGCAATGACAGAAGAAAGGAAATAGGCAAACATGTAGCTGTACTTCAGACAGGAGTGTTTACTTCACAGTAAGCGCTCACCATTGCCGAGTCAATAATCCAGCTCTTTAGCGTGAGGAGCTGGGACCCTCCAACAAAACTGAATAGCCGTCAAGGTCATTGGTCTCCAGTTCACTTACATATAAAATTTCCACATAAAACCTGAGCTAAAGGTCTTGTTGATATTTAAGTGGTACCTTTCATGTCTAAAGGGGGCCCTGTTTTGAAACACCTAGTTCTCCTTTCCTTGCTTAATTTGTTGTGATATGTAAACACTGTTAATTCTTCAAAACACCATGCAAACTACAGTGCAAACTAAAACACAAAACAACTCTCTGTGAATTCATCATTGTTGTGATGTCACAACCATAAAAATATTTACATACAGTCATGTAAAGAATTAAGTACACCCCATGCAATGTTGGTGAAGATCAGTATTGACCTTCTGTTAAACAGTATGTACAAATAAACATTATGTAACAGATAAAAAAAACAAAGGAACTTCATAATCATTTATTTAAAAAATGAACAGAGATGTAATTTTTTTCTATTAAAAAGTAAGTACACCTCTGGCTTCGGTAACTGACACTGCCCTTTGGCAGAAACAACTACATGTAGTTGTCTACCAGTTTGTGGCATCTACTGAGAGAAATTTTGGCCTGCTCCTCCACACAGAATTTTTTTAACTGAATTCTTTTAACAATGTTTGAGGTGGTTCTTGCATGTACAGCCCGTTTTAAATTCCCCCTCAGCATTTCTGTGGGATTCAGATCTGGTCTTTGATTAGGCCATCCCATAAACCTCCATTTCTGAGTGTGCCTGGCACACATCTGCATGCTTAACTGCAGTTTTCAAGAGGGCTTTTCAGCTGTGCTAACTTTTTATGTTCCATTTGCGGGCAATGACAGGCTTTTATGTTGAGGAGCGCACCATTACTCCTTATCTGAGCCCTGCCTTCATGAGGCACTGGATTGGTTTAGAAATGTCACGCTCAGTTTGTTCCCACTCTGATAAGTCTATGTTTCCACCCACATTTAGCCCACACCTTCTCATACTTGCCCCTAGATGTTCTCGGTATGATCCTGTCTGGCCCCAGGAGACTAGCCAAATTTAATGTAGTTAAATTGTTAGAACCATCATCATAATCAGAGACAAAAAAATAAACACAATAGCTTGCCTCACTTTTAACTGTCTAGTTACTAGTTACAGATATCTAGGGCAAATACAAAAAAAAAACTCAAAGAAAAATGATCCATGTTATTTTAAGAGTTGAGAGTGTAAAACTGCAACGGTGGAAGACCGATGGCGGCATGCAGCTGTGTAAACATGTGGTGATAACCACATCCTTGTGCCTTTTTGTCTCGACTGATCATTAATATTCTTTTATTTGCACTTATTTGCCTCAACCAAATGAAGGAAAAAGGCATCCAACTTACATTCTTTCTATTGTGAAATAAACATGATTTTGAAAAATCAAATGCAAAGGTCTCAAATACAATATCAACATTATCCTAATGAAGATATGATGCCTTTGCTCCACCCCAGTGGATGCCTTTTTCATCCATTGGTTTGAAGCAAATAAATGTAAACAAAATAATACTGGTAATGATGAATGGAGACAAAAAGGCACAAGGATGCAAAAATTCTGAGCCTTTGGGTTTATCATATTATAAGCGTGCAAGACTAATTTGTAACATTTTCTTTGGCATCTGAGGACTTTTATTTTTTCTTTTTCAAACAGTCAGGGAAGCCCCCTGTAGCTACACACTTGGTCTTAAGAAGAGTTATTTCAGTGGAAGATGAAAATGTTAAATGTTGTACTGTTCCTGGCCGGGCACAGGACAGGACAGCGAATCAGAAGGTCATTTACTTCCCAGTCTGTCAGCCTGTTTCATTCTAAGGGATAAAAAGAGAGAGGAAAATGGCCATATATAACAAATTAGTGAATACAAGATATGGGTTTTAGTATATAATGTAGAAAGTGGGCCCTTTAATGCATAAATGAAAGGCATAATCAGTTAAACAGTGTACAATCTGACTGTGACATGGTTAGAATCCTTCTGAGCACGACTGTTTAAAAAGATACATGAGGCTGAAGATGAGGCTCTGTCTCAGGTTACCACTGTAGTGGAGGATCAGCAGGAAGAGGACAGTGTCTGGAAGAAGCAGAAGCACTTCATTCTCACTTTCTCCTTCCCTCACTCTCTTAAACATGAACAAATAAAAGACACACAGACACACTCAGGGTTTAGGCTGGGGGTTTACCTTGAGCTATGAGGACAGGGTACTCCAAGTAAGTTGCAAATGGATATTCATGATACATCTCATATGTGGTAAATACAATATATCTGCAAAATGGAGACACATTAATTCTGGGCTGATATTCAGCACAAAAACACAAATAACTGTTCATTCAATTTCACATTGAGAGAAACAGGCCTGTCACAATTGTTAGATAATTATCTGATCGGGATAATTTGAATTGCTTGCAATTATTTAAAGCTACACTATGTAAGATTTAGGGAGTTAGATACCTCTCTGGTGGAAACGTGTGATTGCAGGAGAATGTTTTGTCATGTGGGTGACTAAGTAAATGAATCTGAGTATGTACAGCTAAGAAGTAACATGGCTAATTAGCCAATTTGGGCACTTTAGGCTTGTACTTTAATATCTGCATACAATTATATAATGAATAAAAAAGAAAATGAAATTGTTAATCATGCTTATTTATACGGCATTAATCGTCTAAAATGAAACTAAAATGTCATGATTGTGACAGGCCTAATAAGAAAAATGCAGCACATGATGTATAAAATGTCTTCAGTGCCAGTCATTTCCAAAGAATGTATATCACTCTGCACACCCTCGCAAACTCAGCACACACATACACTAGTGCTCCAAAATAACACTTTCATCTGACCTTTCCCTGCGTGAATCACAGAACAGAGTTACGACTGCAGACAGCTGCACTTCTATACTGAGAGACTGCACTTTCCAGGGAACTTTCCACCCCCCCCCAACCCCCCCACCCCTTACTGCCTCACTCAGACATACAGACTTACAGTGATGAGGCTCTTGTGGCTGTGTAACTGGATGGCTTGTGATGCAGGTCAAAAGACACACCGTATTTGTTATACTTCATGCAATTACACAACATATACATACATCAATGTCATACATTCTGTATACAAGACAAGCAGCGCTATATATATATATATACACACACACACACACACACACACACACAGACACACATATATCACTGCTGTCGGAACAAAACCTCATATCTCCATTTTTATTGTTTTGAGTTTCAGTTTTTTTGATATGATTTGAAAGTGCCCGTTGTCCTTTACATTGTGTGTAAATTTCATGATGAATGAACTAAAAGAATGGCCAAAAATAACTTGCAAAAAAGTCTGGCTCCACTGACTTACATTTAAAGTAGAGTAGTTTTTTCTTTCTCCTGTAAAGTTACCATTTTTGAGGTACGAGGTTTTGTTTTGAGAACAGCAGTTTGAACACCCTTGCTCAAATTACATGTTTTGTTGATCCTATAAAAAACAAATGCCATTTTCTATTAATTTGGTAACCATCATATTGGAAGTAAAACATAAATCTAAATTGTGCCAGAAAGTTTACACAGGAAACATTTTGTTTTATTTTTTTCTCTACATCTTAAATTCAAAATAGTAAATAGTAATTGTATATTAAAATGTGCAGACGTGTTCTCTGGATGTTATTTTCACTAAGAAAGTCAACAAAACATCATTTGATCAGGGGCGCCCAAACTTTTCCATAAGGCTGTATATACACTATGAGCCAGTTCCCCAGACATGGATTAAACCTAGTCTTAGACAAAACTGCAGTGCCGATGGTGAATCGCCATTAGAAACACTTTTTAGTCTAGGCACTGGTTTAATCTGGGTCTGAGAAACTGGCCTTATATGTCCAGATGTTTTATGGGGAGGTGAAGTGAAGAGTTGAAACATATCATTATTGGTTAAAATGTTAATTACCCAATTAAATTTTGGTTGGAGACTATGACACAATAAGAACAAAATTTTATATGTTTTTTAAAGTTTTGTCATGTTTAGTCATGTTTTAAGGGGACTTTAAATTCCACTGACTTCACAATTTCTGCATACTTAAGTTGTAGACAAAGTCTTTCAGAGAGGTTTGGAGTTTTAGAGAAATTTACCAGGATAAAATTGTTAACAGTGGTGCTGATAGGAACCAGATGTCTGAGTTTAATGCATCTAAAAGTTCCCTCACAGCAAGTTATTACATCGAACTGATGTGAACATGCTGCCTATCATTGTTTTAGGCCAATTTAGTCAGAAAGTCAACTGATCTTAATTACCAGCAGGTGGCAGCATAACATCACATTAACCACTTGTGCCAGAACACGATCTGCTCTCACTACCACGCTTTACACAAAAGCAAAACCCCGTACGTTACTGATATGATAACATTTCCATACTTTATCACATGTAAGTAGGGAGGTCAGTCCAGGAGTATAACAGTCTGGAGGCTCTGGCCACCCAGTGGACTGTTATAAAACGACATGCTGCTACGCCGTAGCCTCCAGCACCCCTTACCCTGAAAGCTCCAGGATTAGTCCTCTCACACTGATACCTTTAGGCGACTTGGTCCGGGTTAACAAAGCGATCTGGGGCAGTTTGAGCACGGTGCAAGCGAGCAGGGTGCTGAAATTCAGCGAGTCCAGCAGCCACTGTCTGGCCATCTTTACCACGGAGAGCCTTCTGGATGACCCTCATCAAAGGGGGCGGCTGTAACCTTCACTAAACACTGTGGTCATTTTACAGAGACATAGAAAAGCTCTGAAAACACCGTAAAAACAATAAATAAAAATAATAATATAGTTATGAGGTAAAATACGTAAAAAAGCTGTAACACGTTAAATAGCTAAAGATTTCTTTTCAGTGAACCACGAGCAGTGCTGGAGTGAAGTTATTTATGGAAGTGAGAATTCAGAAGCTCGTTTTTATCGGTAGGGGGCGCTGCAGTTCACTTACCATCAGAGAACTCATTCAGGCTTTGCTGTCGGTGAGCCGCTCAGTAATGTCCTCCAGGGTTTGTCAAACGCTAGAGGGCGCTCCGAGCGACTCCAAAATGAAAAGATTAACATCGACCATTTGAGCAAAATCATAGTTTGTAAACGCTCAGACTTTTTAAAAAAGAATGCATTTATATACTAAACACTGAACAATATGAAACATTTTAACACCGCTGGTATATACTTTTTAAAACTGGTAACATTCATTACAATACACTGACATGAATAAGGAAGTAAAGAGGTTTTATTGGCTTGTTGTTCTTCGAATTTTTAATTGCTAAAAATTCTTCTTTCTGCATTTGTGAAAATAGAATTTAGCAAGATTCTTGTTTTGATTGCAGATATCATGGAATCCAAACAGTACATTTTTAAAAACCAAAGAGAAATCAGCTAAGATATTGTAAATTACAGATCTTGAATTTTATCATATATGAACAATACCAAAAACAAATGGAACAAGCTTTCAGGATGCCGATTACAGAAGCTGCAGCCGAGGTTGTTATCATTGTTAAATCTTTGTTAGAAGACATTCATTGGGTAATATCTGTGAATCATTTTAAACCAATCAGCACTCAGTAGCAAGTAATGCTAATTAATCAGCACTGAGTAGCAGTAATGCCAACCAATCAGCGCTCAGTAGCAGTAATGCTAACCAAACAGAACTCAGTAGCAGTAATGCCAGCCAATCAGCTCTCAGTAGCAGTAATGCTAGCCAATCAGCTCTATGTAGCAGTAATGCTAACCAATCAGCATGCAGTAGCAGCAATAGCAACCAGTCAGTATGCAGTATCAGTAATGCTAGCCAATCAGCACTCGGTAGCAGTAATGCCAACCAATCAGCACTCAGTAGCAGTGATGCCAACCAATCAGCTCTCAGTAGCAGTAATGCCAACCGATCAGCACTGAGTAGCAGTAATGCTAATCAATCAGCACTCAGTAACAGTAATGCCATCCAATCAGCACTCAGTAGCGGTAATGCCAACCAATCAGCACCCATTAGCAGTGATGCCAACCAATCATCTCTCAGTAGCAGTAATGCCAACCGATCAGCACTCAGTAGCAGTAATGCCAACCAATCATCCCTCAGTAGCAGTAATGCCAACCAGACAGCACTCAGTAGCAGTAATGCCAACCAGTCAGCACTCAGTAGCAGTAATGCCTACCAATTAGCACTCAGTAGTAGTAATGCCAACCAGTCAGCACTCAGTAGCAGTGATGCCAACTGGTCAGCACTCAGTAGCAGTGATGCTAATCAGTCAGCACACAGCAGCATTAAAGCTAGTGTCCTATTTGCTGTGGATAAAATGAGCTACACAGGTAAGTTTTCTTTGCTTTTTTAGTGAAATACATCCTTCTACATTCCGAATTAAAGAAAGGTCCAGGACAAGTGGTTAGAAACTATTCTAACTTTTCATTTTTAACCGTTTAGCTTGATTTACCCCCATTAATTCAGGACTCTCTCATGGCCACCCTCTGACATTTTGCAGTCATGTTTTGACATAACAGGTAAAATAGGAAGTGGCCTCTTAAACCTGCTCTGATTCCACAATTAGAGAGCCATCTAACCTTTGTAACTCTTAAAAATAATAATTTAATAATTTTGTCTACATTGAATTTAAGACAACACAATCAAAATGTCTCAACCAGCTTCAGGAATGTTGAGATTTGTAAGCATAGAATTAGCAAATACACTAAATGTGGTAAATTAGCATCAATGCTAATGGTGTGAAGATATTACAGACAATATAATGATTTACTTTTATTTTTTTAAAATTAATAATTGGTACCACTTTACTACCTTTATAAAGGGATTTTGAATGGTTTAATTGAAAAATGTGTATTAATTAGATAAGAAACAACTTGAAATCAGTAATAAGCAGTTAGCTATAGCATATAAATAAAAAAGGCAACAGTGACCTGCTAAATCTGAAAAATCTGAGGTGTAACAGCATAGATGAATGTGGGAAAAAAACACATTTACATGATTTATGGAAATGATTTGAGTGAATATTGACTTCTCAGGTTTGTTAGCAATATTAGCTTGCAGCTCTAAACTAAAGAAGTGAAATTTGGACACCAAACATGTTTTAGATGATTGAGTAGATCTGAAGTAAGTGGGAAACAGTGCTAATTTTATTTAGCCATTGTTTATTTAAAATCTATATCCTTTTTTAACTAACTTAACTTTAAGTAACGGCTTCTTGACGGCTGTACATCCTTTCAGACTCATAGTGTTGTCTTCTCACAGTGGAAGGATGCACAGAAACACCTATGGATTTTTCAGAACTAAATCACAAGTAAAACTTTATTTGTAAAAATAAAACTTTACTGTAAAACTTTATTTTTATTTGTATGCTTTATAAGATAAAAGCTTTGAATACAGGTTTTCTGATGGTGACAGGTTTGGTGGTCTACCAGGTCTTGCATGGTTGTTAGGAGTCCCGCTTTCTCTATAGTTTTAGTCATTTCTGAACTCAATTTCTGGAAACTCCTGTTTTTTTTTACTTATTTTTATCTGACTTTCCTCTTCCCCATGCAAGTGGATTATCTTATACCTAGTCTCCACATAAATATCTGAATAACATGTAATGAACAGTCAGTTTGAATGGAAATTCAATAAATCAACATGGCTTGTGACTTCCCCACCCTAAAAAAGCCATTAGCAAACATACTAATATCTTAATAAGTCAGTATTGAGTGGCATTAGCCTGTTTGAGAGCTTAAGCAGGGCTCTGTAGTGAATGAGATATGTGCGTGTTGTGTGTGTGTGTGTGTGAGTGAAAGAATGAGTCGGTATGTGTGTGTGAGATATATAGAGAGATTTACAGCTCTTTTAATGCAGGGCGCTCTCTTGGGAGGTTACTTATGAAAATTAAACCTTGTTTTGAGGCCTGTCAGTTTCTGGGTGGAACGCAGGCTCCTGACCAAGGCTGACAAAATTTGCCCTTGCTCCAGCTTTGAACCTCTTTCATCTCTCACTCAATCATGTTCATGTTCTTCTTTGGGTGTGCTGATATCTCTCTTGTCATCAGTGTGAGGAGGGCTTCAGCATATTTCACCTTGGCAAACGTGCACATACACATTGACTGTGTTTTCTCTTCGGTAGTCAAGCCCATGACTGATGACTGCTAGGAGGTGAGCTGAATGGGGTGCCTGTCCTGAGAGGACACGTCTAATGATAGATAGGCTTAATAATTCACTATAATCACACACAATAATGTATTAGTAAGACACCTTTAAAGAGGCATTCCACCCAAAAGCTAGCATTTAAAATGTTATTAGTTATGTTATGTAGTATTCTGTTCTGCAGCATTATATCTCTCAGCTTCATAGCTTTGACAGTACATTTTTGTCCTTTCTCTAACTACAATACCCAGCATGCATTGTGCCACAATGCCATACAACCATATACCTCTGTATTATTCTGTAACCTGCATCTGCCCATATTAGGAACAAATTTTCTCTATGAGAAAAATGAATGGCATCTTGTTATAAACAAAAAAGTTCCAAACCTGATATGTTGGATATCCACTGAATCCTCTGAATGACGAGATCATTTAGCAGTTAGAATATGAATATTGCTACAAGCAAGGTAACACTTCGGCACACTGAATTGTTAGTGCACACTAAATGTAATAAACTTTTAAAAAACACTAAAATTATAACACCCGCTAGCCAAACTGTAGACGACTACTACCGAAGCAACTTAACTACTACATTTGACAAAGTTACTGATTTGGGGTTATTTTGGGGAGGTTGCCAGTCTCGAGACGTCACTTCAGCGTGCAGCAGTGTTAGCTTGCAGGTAGCAATTTTCATATCTCGTTTCCTGAATGACCTCAAAATTCAGAGGATCCAGAGTTTTAAATATGAGCCTGATGGTGACTACAGGAGAGGACATGACTTCAGAGGTCTGTTGGAAATCCCCCCATTGCTGGGGAGAAAAACATTAAAACAGCCTGTGTTCATGTATCTACAGAGCCACTTAGTGAGGCATGGGAACAAGATAATTAAATCTTGGTCACAACAAGATCCTAATGTGTGGCCATGACTTAACAAGATCCTAATGTGTGGCCATGACTTAATTATCTCATTCCCACATTAGGATCTTGTTCCCATGCGTTACTAAGGCATGGACATGCATTAATTTTATTAATACAGGATGTCACCAGCGGGGCTCCATATGTATCCGCACCAAAGTGCTTGTGGTTTTTCAAAAGCTTCTCCTGCCTTCTAGATACATCATCTGCAGGGGTATTTCCTAGTCTCTAAAACAGAAAATCTCACGTTTAGGAATATTCTGGCACAGATATAGTAGGCGAGTATGGTATGTTTAGAACAGATGTAAGAATGTTTAAACTCTTCATTTTGGCCAAGGTGTCCCCCTTTGATGTGAGCATTCGCCGCTTCAAATTTCCTAAAGGGCATAGACTTTTCAGTGCAGTTCATTGTAGTGTTTAGTTTCAAAATGTACCACTCACTCCTCAGTACAGTCCATATACAGAAACTAAGCTGCAAAAACAGCCGCTTTGAATTGTTTTTGTGATGTCACAAATACCAACACGGTTACATATCATTGCTGTCGGGACAAAACATTTTTGTAATTTTTTTCAGATTTTTACACTGTTTGAAAATGCCTGTTGCTCTTTACATTGTGTCAAAATTTCATGAATGGACCAAGAAAAATGCTCCAAAATGTATTTGGCTTAAATTATTTCTCTATTAAAGTGGAACTCCACCATTTTTTTAAAAATGTGTGCATAATTAAATGGTTAACATGTCAACAAAGTCATTCAGAGTGGTTTGGTGTAAAATGCTTTGTTCTAGAAAAACTTACAGAATCAGAATTGTTCACAGTGGTGGTGATAGAAACCAGACGTCTGATCAGT